GCGGTTCATTCGGCTATCTTCGGAAGATCCCGAGTAGCTCATTGGTCAGAGCGGTATATCCTCCAGTAATACGACTTGGCGGGAACAAACATATGCATCGCTCCAGTTTAAACGGCGAATGTAACACTGAAAAAACATAACGCCAAAAATATATATGTATTTCGTCACTTATCCAAAAGATAACTTTGCGATCATGCTTACGGTCAGAAGCAATAAAAACGCAAGAAAATAAAAATATAAAGTCGAGTGTTGTTTACTTGTTATCACAAATTTACAGAATTCACTAATTTCCCGCCAAATTGCGTGTAAAGGGAGTCAACTGTCATGGCATCAAAACGAACAAAATTGTGTTCCGTATCTTTATTTTATCAGAAATAGCACGTTATTATATATACGAATGATACGTGTGTAACTTGTATCTTACAAAAAACGACACAATGCACAAAAGAATATTATGCACAGTAAAGGAAACACACATTTATATCGTAAAAAGAAAACAAAGAAACGTTTGCTAATAAGAAGAGTTGGTGTTTAAAACGTTAAGCAACAATATGTCGAAAGTGAAAACATATGACATGCGGGCCGTTTGATGCGGCGTTTACCCTGATAACCACAGATATACTCTATGAATAACAAAGAAATCCAATTACCTATGTACCCCGGTCTATCCCCGAAAGTTTGTTATTCCAATTCGTTTAAGGTGGAAAGAATTAATTTATTATGCCTCGTGTTATTTTTGCTGCCTTTTTCTCGAAGTTTTCAAACTTCCGGTAACTTCCTGAACGCCATCTGTGTCAAATGATTACTGCCCGCCAATTTGACAATAGCGCCAAAGTTTATGAAATATCTGACAAGTGTTGCCAATTAAATAATATCAGAGAGACTCTGATAATAGATAAAAGCTTTCCTTCGTTGAGGAAATAAAAGAAACTTAAACTTCGCAATACTATGATAGTTTGTCTAGCTGAGCGCGAGTTGAGTTGAATATAACCTCCGAATTTAACATTCCTGTAACGTAAATGCCCTTAAACACACAGCTTTCTAATGTGGATGTATTACAGATTTCTTGAGCCATGAAATTCCGTAAGGAATAAGTTTATTCGTATACTTTGTCCGTGGCTTAATTACACAAAGTAACTACATTTACAACTTCTGTAAACAATCCATCATTTACAATTCAACGCGAAGTTACTCGGAGTGGAATTACTAAGATAGTCGGTAGATGGTGCTGTCTTTTGGACTTGAATATTTGGCGGATGTTTTGAAATATGTATTCAGTTATTATGATAACATTCTTGCTTATACCATTTCAATTTTTTCAATACTGATTACAATTTGTATAATGTAAAAAGTTTATTAAATTTTGAAAGAATGTACATTATTTCCGAATGTAATAGAAACTACAATTAAATTTGAATACGATTTGATATCCCCTACAATCGTCACAAATATTATCACGTATAGAAAATAATATGAGATACAACAATAATATAACGTACATATATTTTGACATATACTATAAAAATACAATATATACCATATTAAGTATCACGACATAAGAAACATCTTATTTCGACTAATGACTATCGAGTTATTGACGTGAGTGAACAACGTCCATTGGACTGTTTGCAAGCTCATAACGTTTTATTATTATGCAACATTGTGTTCAAATGCACTACCTTCTGAAATACAGTTCCTACATCAATAAGACCTAGTTCAAACATGGCGATTTTAACCATACCATTAGTTCGCGTTAAAGATAAACATCGGTAAACCGAACCATGTAGTTTTATACAGGGATGTAGCACGACATTATTCGTTGAAGAAGTTAACCTATTCATATTGCACCTAAAACCAACCTTTTATTTATTTTACTAATTAAAAAAGAAAGTTGATGAATTGTTTTGGCATTTTGAAGATCCGAAGGTTGAATAAAGTGCTTCACTTGAAACAACGAAGAACAGAAACTTTATGTTCAGGTTCATCGCAAGTAAACACGCTCCTATCATCTCTAAAAAGAATGAAAAGAACAAAAGAGAGATCACGTGACAAAGGGAGTCGCCATTGTTACTGTGATGGGGTCTATTTTTAATGTAAACAACAGCATTCAACATAAATGAAACCGTTCTTCTTCTGAGCAACTATCTTTCCTGTACATTGCTAAGGCTAAGCAGAGCAGCATGTTTCTTTACCACTACGCCTAAACAGCTTTATCAGCAGACCTAAGGACAAAAGTGCTACCGACATTCGCCTGTAGTTTGACCAATGATATTGTGTGGGTGACAAAAACTCCTCGCCATGTTGAACGACACTGTCTAAACGCCATCTGTCGAAGGATTCACTGAAATGGTCGAGAGGGTGTAAAAATCATTCTCCGAATCGTCTCTCTATCCCCGTCGTTTCCAATCCCCGAGCGTATCGTCGAGTGTCGGCTCATCCGCCGCGAGTGTGTGTAATGTCGACGAGAATGTTGACATTTAATTCAACTCGTCGGGTGGACCGTGTACGCATCGCGAGACTACCGTGAATAATGTCAATGGCTTCCTCGTAACTGGCCGCACGCGTTTGCGATAATGTTACACGCGACCAGACTCGTGTAAGCTCATGCGGACTTCATGAACGAACGATCGGCGTACGCGCGAGGGCTTTGGCTCGAACTGTGATGCGCCATATTGGTTCAAGAGAATTGTTCATAGTTCAGTGAGGTCTTCGGTGAATCAGTTATTTTTTCATCGCAAATGCACGCGCAATAACAGAATTCCCGACGATGGAAGAAACCAAGATCATCTATCATATCGATGACGAAGAGACCCCTTACCTGGTGAAGCTCACCATATCACCGGAAAGGGTCACTCTGGCCGACTTCAAGAACGTCTTGAATCGGCCGAATTACAAGTATTTCTTCAAATCGATGGACGATGATTTCGGGTGAGTGTCGCGGCGATATGCATGTCTCCTCGCACGTCGACTCGCATACGTTCAACGGGGCTTACCGATCGACACTGTTCTGGGCTACCGTATCTTTCATCTTCGAACGAGTCAATGCCCTGTGATTTAAACAGTATCCGCTTTCGCGATACTCACATTTTGACAATTATCCTTTCCCTCCCCAGTTTCGTGTACATGTTTCACACTCGATTTACATCCGTTTCCAGATCCATTTAAATCCTTATTCGCATCTTTTTTAGCATTTTATGATTCCATCATGATCCAGCTTGAGCTGTGATAGGAAATGTTCTAAAAAAAAAAAAGAGTATCTGGCTAAAAATATTGTAATCAATGAAACACATGATCAATTTTTGTTTATAACAATTATGACTTATTATGAAAGCTGCTTAATAAAATATTTTCCATCTGTTTATAGATCATTTTGGTAGAATCAAGTTACTCCAATTACTCTTTCACATAATTTCATGCTTACAGTATAGTTAAAGCTAATACTTCCTTTGTATTAATTGGTGTTGAATGAAAAATTATGGCAATCGTCAATGATTAAATGACACATTGATATATTGGAGTAAATCTTTCAACAAAAACAAAGTTTACATCCAAAAGCTTCAAGATGAATAAGCTATGATACTGGACTTTAGAAGTACCTAAATCTCTGGGGTTAAATAAATATCATCTGTTGGTATTTCTTAAGCATAATAAAGTATGAACATGAGATATGATATCTCATATGATTTATTGAGATTTTTAATGATAATTGTTTAAGAAAAAAATTCACAATTGCACAATTGTTAAATTTATTTATTATACATTGAGATTACTATCATTTTAAGCAGAGGTCCTTTGTCCCTTGTCCTGACACAAAGTAATTCATGTAACTCAAAGATTTCAAATTACTTTGTGTTTTTATTTATTAACGATACTGTACATATTTTCAATTGTAGTAAAGAAACCAAAATGAAAGGAACATTTCTTTGTAATATTTAGTGCATAGAATTAATTGTTTTTTATCAGTTTTAATTATTACTTGACCACCAATATGGAAAAAGTATTAACTATAATGTTTTATGAATACCTTAATACAATAAAAACCTTTTTGCTTTCTTGACAGTGTTGTAAAAGAAGAAATTGTGGATGATGATGCCCACCTTCCATGTTTCAATGGACGAGTTGTCTCTTGGGTAAGATTCTTAATTTCAAATTAATTAAACTTCTCCATGAGATTATGTAGCTATATGTAAACTATAAATATACTTCAAGCTATATATATATAAAAATAAAAACTTTAATAATACTGATTTCAAGAGTTACAAACAATACAGATAATAGAAATAAATTCTACAAGTTTTGTGATTATACAGGGTTTCCCACATAGGTGTTGTCACAAAATTTTAAGACTTGGTTTCTTGAATTTTACAAAAAATTGTGTCAGACAAAATTTCAACTATGATTAAGTATACACATAACTTTTGTAAATTACAGTTCCTTTATTTACATTTTTTTCTGAGATATGAATGTTACCATTTGTTTGCTAAATGAAGTTATAGTATTTTTAAAAAAATTTGTTATTAGACCAAATCGTGACAAAACTAATAACAATATACGTTTTAAAAAAAAAAAAAAAAATATAACGTATAAAAACTTAACAGAAGTTATGCAACATCACGATATATCAAGGTATTTAGTTCAGAAACAATCAAACACTCAAAGATACCGCGAAGTTGCACCACTACTGAAATTATATTTGTCATTTATTTTTGTTTCTTGTAATATATGTATAGTTGTCAGAGTTATCATGATTTATGTTAATAAAAAATATTTAAAAAACACCAGGGTTTTATGTAAAAAACAAAAGGTAACATCTATATCACTGAAAAAAATGAAAATAAGGAAACTCTGATTTACAACATTTTATGCACACTTAAATCCAGTTCAAGTTTAGTCTAACACAATATTTTGTAAAGTTCAAGGAAAGTATGTAATAATTTAGTACATTGTACTAGTGGAGTATCGAAACAATATTATCGGAATTATTTAAAAATAATATTAGTTGTTAAATTATACAAAGTATAGTTAAAAGAAACAAATGTATTTATCAATAGTTGGTGTCTGCTGAGGGCAGTAATGTCTCAGATGGTGCATCACAATGCACAGATTCAGTAGCACACAGTGAGGCAAAGCATGATCGTGTTGATCATGTAACACCTGGTCATACAAATCGTGGCCCGCCGCCGCTTTCTCATGATGACACTTTAACTGAAACTGAAAGTATTATAAGTAGTCGGCAAGGACATCATTTACATAAAAGTTCAAGACACCATTCAGACAAGTACATTGACAAATATAAAAACAAATATAATGGTATGTTAATTCTATCAATCTATCTATAATTACCAAAAGCTCCATTATTGCTATGATATGTTTGTTTATTAATTTTTTTTATTAAGAAATTACAACTATAGAAACTCTTTGTACACCTAAACATTATTCTCATTTGTTCATTGACCCAGGACTTCGTATAAACGGTCATTCAAAGCACAGATCAGGCCATGGTTATGAGACTGCATCTATTTTAAGTTCAGATTTAGAAACAACCACATTTTTAGAATCGGATGACGATGCAAGTAGCCGAATAACATCGACAACAGGCAGACACACCAATATGAGTAGCACAGTTGACAGAGCTACCTTAGGTAAATCTATATTGAGGCCTTTAACAATACTCTTTAGTTAATATTTAGTGGATCAGGTTCAAGAATTTTTATTTTTCAATATTAGATCGGCGTAGACCGCAAAGAAGACGGCGTCACAGACTACTACCTATGTCAAGAACATCATCCTTTAGCAGTATCACAGACAGTACAATGTCCTTAAATATAATAACAGTCTCATTAAATATGGATACTGTTAACTTCCTTGGGATTAGTATCGTTGGTCAAAGTAATAAAGGTGGCGATGGGGGCATCTATGTTGGTTCCATAATGAAAGGGTATGTTTCAATCTATTGACAATTAGAGTATAGGAAAGCCTCTGCATGATTAATTATTAGTACAGAGTGTACAGCAAAAATACTTCGATTACATGTAAAAGTACTTGTTTCATTGCGAATTTTAATATGTGCAGGGGAGCTGTTGCTTTAGATGGTCGAATAGAACCTGGCGACATGATTCTTCAAGTAAACGATATTAACTTCGAGAATATGTCTAATGACGAAGCAGTTAGGGTACTACGTGAAGTGGTTCAGAAACCGGGGTATGTTTAAGTTAATACTGTGATTGTTGCATAGGGATCAATTAGGCGAAGTAACATGATTTTATTATGAATATATGTGCATCTTCTAGACCAATCAAACTAGTAGTAGCAAAGTGTTGGGATCCTAATCCAAAAGGATATTTCACAATACCACGTACAGAGCCTGTACGACCAATAGATCCTGGTGCTTGGGTAGCACATACGGCTGCTATAAGGGGTGAAGGTTTTCCTCCACGCCCACCGAGTGCCACAACTTTAACATCAACGTCAAGCAGTCTTGCGAGCACACTACCAGACACAGAAAGTAATTATTCTCCCTATTAAAAGCATATAATATATGTTTGAAGTATGATATTGGATATAGTAACAAATAAATAATAAATATGTATTAGGACCATTGGAGGAACTTCACTTAACAGTGAACACTGATATGCCAACAGTAGTGAGAGCAATGGCTAGACCTGACTCAGGGTTAGAAATTCGTGAACGTATGTGGCTTAAAATAACAATACCAAATGCATTTATTGGGGCAGACGTGGTGGATTGGCTTAATACTCACGTGGAAGGGTTCATTGATCGTCGCGATGCAAGGAAATACGCATCCCTGATGCTAAAAGCTGGCTTTATCAGGCACACAGTGAATAAGATAACATTTTCCGAGCAGTGTTATTATATATTCGGTGACCTGTGTTCAGCGATGAGCAGCATGAAATTAGACTGCGACACTGTTGGACCATTACCACCACCAAATGCCTGGGACATGCCTTATTCGGGAACGTATGCACCTCATTCCGCAACTGGTTATAGTCCAATGCCATTCAATTTCACTAACGAACCAACCGTGTACGGTTATCATCGAGAAGAGAGTGTTCATAGTGGCTCAGGTGAGACTTATCTCTAGAACTACTACACCCCGCAAAAAGTATTACATCAAACAAATTAAACATTTGGTACAATTATTTCTCACGTATTCAATATGAAAAATGTTCTTATTAATAGCGACAAGAATACAAAGAAATAGTCGTCATTATTTAGGTGAAATATTAGTATAAAAATGAATATTTTTGTTTATATACAAAACACAATATGACGAATTTAAACAGAGATCTAAAGAAGTGTCAATTATTTGTAACGTCGAAGAAAGTTTCAGACAACTTCTATACTCATTTTTTTTTTCGGAGAATTACAAAACATTTTAATAGTTTATGATACTACGTATACACCTTTTTTTTACAATTATCATATTTTTAAGAACCTTCTGTTATTCTATGTTTGGTTTGTTTTAAATATTTCTTTGAGTTATATTAATTCAATTCTTCTACTCTATTCCTTTAATATATACATATAATATTATTTAATTAATGTTCTATTTTAATAAATATGTAAATAATTTTTTGAATGATCACGTTAGCACGTTTGATTGTTTACTTTCTGCTAGGAGTAGTAGTGTATAAGAGTTTTGGGTGTATTTTAAAACAATATATTTCAACAGGGGGTAGTAGTGCAGGTAGCGAACACATTTGCAAAGAACCTATCCATGACCTGAAGTCATGTTCTTCGGCGTCCGAGACTGAATTGCATATTCCATCAGTGCCAACAATGCCAAGTAAGAATTCTGGCAATGGGAACGGTTCGAATGGAAAAAGGTCTAATGGTAGTCGCAGTCGTTCCAGTGGTTCTGAACAGTCTGTGCAGACAGGAACTGGTTCAGGGAATCAACAGAACCCGCAAGACTTATCTGGTAGTAGACAGTCATTTCGCATTGCGATGGGAAATCCTTGTGAATTCTTTGTTGATGTTATGTAGATGACGGTGTTGTGTAAATAGATGTGTTATAAATTTGGAGACAGATATACAATCGAACTTGAATGAATACTTTGAAGAAGTTCAATGAAAAAATAAGTTCCACATATTTATATCAACTTTAGATACAGCCTTTATATTATTCTCAATAATACCTTCAACATTTTTCTTCTGGTAACACCGACAGAAAATAAAAAAAGTTATTTCTACTTAGTGCATGTTTTCTATCGTTTACACAGAGGATATTTCAAAGTATTTATTCGCTGCCCTATTCGATTTACTTTTCAGGTTTATGTAATTCGTACTTGAAGTCTTTACAATTTGATTATACCATATCGTCACAACTTTGCATTCCATCTTGTACTACGTATTTTTACAGTAATGATATTATCTCTAAAGTTCGTCCTTTATTGAGAATATTTTTAATATTCGTTCAGATGTTTGCATGTAACATGTAAATGTATATATACTAATATAACTCAAAGAAGTTGCATTAAAATGTAGTGTTTAGTATTCAACAAAAAGTAAAACAGGTATTTTTAATGTCGTAATAATGACGATATTTAAATTTCGATTCTTTTAGATTTTCTTTAGTCCTCGTAGCAGTTTCTATCGTGATTCATCTTTACTTTTATCAATAATTTCATTAGTATAAATTTAAAATGACTATTCCTAATTGTGTAGTATATTTATGAAGTAATAATTCGTAATGGAACCCATATTTATAACTGCATTTCTATGCAAAGCCGTATATTTCAATGAAGTAAAAGTAATATCCTCTTTTGCATGAGACATGCAATTGCTGTGTTGAAAGTTTCGTATTAAGTGTACAGCAACAATGGAACTAGTAAAGATTACTATGAACGATAAAGGAACTCAGTATTTAATTTCGTATAATAATTCATTATTATAAATACACTACAATGCACGCTTTATATTATAAATATTATTGTGGTTGTAATTGTTGATGTAAAGCACGTACGCACAATGAAAGTAGAGCACAAGCATGGTCATGTAAATAACACGGATTACGTCGATGAATTTTTAAGTAATGAAACGTCGCGAATAATTTGCTAAATATATATATATATATATATATATATATATATATATATATATATATATATATATACATACATACATAATGCATGTAAATTATAATTATTTTATTAAGAAATGATTGAACAAAAGGTACGTATTTTTATTAATATTTTTCCATTGCTTGCGTTCTAGGATTGTCTACGACAATGGGGCAGCTATTTCTTTAAAATCGAGAGGATGTTGTTTACAAAAAAAAAGCATGTTAAACGATTCACTAATTATTGCTTTGCAAAATGCGAATTTTTCTTTAAATGGTAAGCCGCTACCAACGAATACAAAATAGAAACGCAAGAAAACAAAAGATATATTATGGATATGTACAAAGGAAACAAAAGTGTGAAATGAACGCATTATTGCGTGTTGGGCAATTATTGGTGAATCATTTATGTCGATCATGGTCCGTGCGTGGAGGACACATATTTCAATTGTATTCCTAACGATTCAAGTAATTATTTGGACGACAGAAATTGTTTACAATTATGTTATGTGGTACTGCATCACAGGTTCGACAATATGTAAATAGAACAAATTATGCTCATATTAAATGTGCCATCTTATGAGTGTTGGAGGAAAGTACTGAAACAGAAAGAATATGAAATGGATATACTGCGACGCACATAATTTATATAGATGCTTTCCAGGTGTATGCATTTCTTATCATTTTACGTTCATTCAAATGTCATCTTATCAGATACAATAATCGAGTATCTTCTGCATCTCGCATAAGCTTATTTAATTTCAACGAACTTCGTCACACATTTAATTGCGTCTTGCCGTTGCGTTTATTACACGAATTTTTTTTTATCTAGCATATATCTTGTTATACCTAAACGACGTTCTTTTATTTTTATAAAATGCTGCCAGAAAAAATATTCGCGTCGGAGAAAAAAAGATAACTATATAAGATTGCTTCAAATATGGTGTAATGTTTGCGTTGAGAAAGTTTCGTAATTTGAATGCAAAATTTTGATGTTGTTTCCTTTTTTTATAGCAATGTTGCTAGCTTTTTCTTTTACTGACATGAACGATAATTTCCGTTCCTCTTTTTTAAATACTTACAATGTGTATAATCTAGTGGATCCTATAAATATCTTTTTATACATATACATATAACATACAGCCATGTTTGAACATAAAAATTTTGTGCAATTTTCCAAAGCAAAACAAAAATTTATGAACATTTCACTTTTCTTCGGCATCTTATAATTAATATTGAATAAAAAAACAGCCTTTCAATTGGCCCTATTGAAACTAATACCGATATAAAAATATACATGTACACATCGCGAAACGAATCTTCTTTTCTAATTTACGAAATACTCTCGAGGCACAAATGTACACATTGGAAAATTGCGCACTGATATTTAATCGTTCGTTTTGACAAATGTTTATTTCATTTCGATAATCGTTATTATGTAATTCGATATTTAAGAGAAGTAGTTAACGCAAACTGTTTTATCAATATCATTATGATACCAACCATTTATATATTATTCTGTAAAATATATACATATTTTATGTTGCAGACAGGTTGTACAGTATGTCTGAGAAACACAAGACTTGTGTTTAAAACGAAGACAAAACGTTATTCTGCTCGATGGGATCGCGGAAGAGAAAATTCTAACGATCACGAGTCTTGTCGCTCGCAGATATACTAAGAAATTTGGTTTACTTTTTATTTTTCTAATTTAATTGTGCCGCTACAAAAGGACCTGCTGCTTTCTGTCTTAACATACAAAACGACTGAAATTTCCTTTGCAACTCACGTTGTGCGCATGTGGATTACACCGTGTCAAAGACGTAATCGAGTCATTTTTGTGCCTTGTGCTGCGCTGACGGTCAATGCAGAACGGCGTATGCATGAGGAGACTCATACACAGACTAGCGATTTGGACAACAATAGCAGAGACAATATCTGTGAGTGTATTTTCTTTTGTTACGACGAGCGAGCCAACTCGCTCGTACACTTTCTTTCTTGTATCTTTCTTTTAATCCAACGTCATCAGAGAGTAATCTGTATCTGATATCCGCCATTGATAATAGATTATATCCATCGAAATTTATTACATAGCGTGTCGACTAATTGGTACAACCCAAAGCTATCGACTCTATACGAATCGAAAATGTGGAATAGAAATATTTAACAGGAAGGTTTTGATTCTTACGAAAATTAGATTTGAATGTTGGACAAGATAGATGTTTGGTAGGAGCTACACAGGTGGATGGAGAACACTTCCTGCTACCTGCTCGTGTCGTTCAACACACAAATTCTTATTTTCGCAAAAGTGAAACCACCTATAAAATATTATCGTACATTTTCGTAAAAAAGAAGTGGAATCCTTTGGGTTGTGCTATCAATTAAGGGGCACCCTGTATTTAGTTCAAAGGATCACCAACTTCCTTTCATCTGGATTTTATTTCAAGTAAAAGTTTCTTTTTATCAAGTAAAAATCTCCCTTATCAACGTTGCGTTCAATCGATTTATTCATTCGTGTTCATACATAACCGACTAACACACAGCGAATGCATCATCGAACTATCGAACCAGTTCCAAGATTCTTGCACTCTAATTGCTTGTTTAAACGAACACACCACAGCATCATACGAGCATCCGTGTCTGTACAAATTGCGAATGCGTCCTACGGATACGTTAGTGGTAGAACAACTCGTATGTATTTGTGTGTGAAAGAGAGAGAGAGAGAGACAGAAAACAGCCTGTACAATGCTCTTGCATAAATCATCACACAAGGCGAACATGTAGTTTTGTACCTGCACATGCAGATTCCCCCCCACCCCCTCACTATGTTAATCATTCAAGCATTCCTAGAACATGAATAGCGTGTCCATTTTGGCTCAGCTTAGAGCAGCCGGGATCTTTGCAACCTAGACATAAGAGAACGTTTCTTTTTTTCCAGATGAAGAGGACATTCTGGAGTACCAGTTTCTGCATAAGTGAAGATAATATTTGTCAAACGCAATACGTATACGTAATACGGTGGTAATTAAAGAGTTTGAACAGGAGCTCTAAGGTATATATATATATATATATATATATATATATATATTTTCCGCTCGATTCGGATCAGGTGAACAACGGAAGTAGCACACGCGAAACATATATTTATATATTTAATAGGCCAATTTTGATAAAACGTCATAGATGGTAAATGATCTAAACTCTCGTATAATTTGTAATGGCTATACATATTAGGACGTAAGGCCATCGAATTTCACGTGATATTCAATATCACACCGAGAATGTCTATATATAGATATATAAATATATATATATATATATACGCAATCTGCATAAATTCAAAACGAGAAAATAAACGGACTTTTCCAAGACGGCGGGAAGCGTGCTCTTTAACGCAGGGTGCATGCAGATTGAGAGAAGATACCAATTGAAATACCTTCGTTAAATATTTCGGTTTTGCGTAATTTAAGGACAGCGAGACGGAACTTTGGTATATCGAAAACTGACCTCGATAAGTGTTTCATTTTAGGAGAGTGAAAAGAATATTCTACTGAATCGTACTTTTAATTACCTAACGAAACTCTTCTGTATCGTAAGAGCGAAATAATTATCCAGAAAATTCCTGATTTACCAGTACAACTCAGAAGCCGAGAATCTTGTAACCAAAACGTCGGCTCACGCTACGATGATTAATTAGTATGAAGCATACCGTATGACTGTTAACACAATTACAAAAAAAAAACAAATCGAGCTTTTTGTAATAACGCAAACGAATAACAATTTTGTATAAAAATGTTTCGATATCGATGTGAAAGCGAGCGCAAATCGAATGATTGACAAAATCGCGACCTCGTCTGAATTTGCTTTATACTAAATAATTGAACCACGCGACGAATACGTACGATTTTATTTTTACTAAGTACTTGTTCACTCAATTACTCGATATGAAATGGCAATACGTAAATAAATTGTAAAGATAAGATTGTACAATTTTTTGGTGAAACTTTCTTACCCTCGGTTCTGTGTGCGAGTTCGTGCTGGAGCTATTGATTCTATTCGAGTATATCCAAGTACCTGGGTTACCTAGTGACTGCTTGCCAAAAATCAACATACTTTAATAAATTATACATAAACGTAATGTATCAAAATTTTATTATACAGTCTATGCCACTAAATAATTATATGAATATGTGTTTGTTCAGTCGAAATGATATATCGTTTTATGGTCAGAATTCTGTTTAGAATTAGAACTTTTGTTATTATTGATGTTAATATTATCGTACCTTTGGAATGAATAATTTATTTAATCTGATTCGTCTAAATTATAAATTAACTTGCTTCTGGTACCGGGTTATCTTGATTTTTCGAGTAGTTTTGAAACTGTCAAGTGGTTCACGGATACCTAATCGTCTAAGGGTCTCAGTAGCTCCAGTTCATACGGACGAGTGTGGGAGGTGTGTGGTTTCTCCCTCTCGAGAACCGATCGAAACCTTGGTAAGTCAATAAGTATCGAAGGAAAGTTTTATTCATTGAAGCGCATTCGTGCTCCCGCGACTGAAGTATTTTAAATGTCATTATAGAGTACCATAGTACAAGGCGACGCGAAGAAGATATCTCATCTACGACCGATCGTTTCTTTCTTGTATTTTCTATCCTTGCGAGGGACTTTTATTGTGAGTCCGGTACCCTAATTGCGAAGTTCAACGACTTTATTATTGTATTTATTAATACATGCAAGACAAAAGAATTTGTAAGAAAACAAAATAAGAGACGACAACATACAGAACGAGAAAAAGAAAAGCCAAAAAAAAAAAATAAGCGAGGAAAACGACTTGGTATTTACAATAAACGACTTCGCGTGTGCGTTCGAAGAAATTTGCGAGGACTGTGTATGCCAGGCTGAATGTTGACGAAACTTTTTCGTTTCCGAATTTCTTACGAATTGTAAACGGTGAACGTTTATATCCACGGTATGTATGATGTACGTTGGATGTAACGTGTGATCGCACGAGTCTCACACAGATGACTTCCGTGGGATCCGGTGAAAACGACGAAAATAAAAAAAAAACACACGGGAACGGTACGGCGCATAAGTTATAAAACGACGAAAAGAATTTCAATACATGTAGTAGTGTGTGGATATACAGGGAAATAGATTGTAAAGATTTTTATGACTGTCTGAAATTATTATTGTCTTTGGTCTTACAATTTTCGCATCAACGATCGAACAGCACAGCTGTCACTTTTAACATCTACCAGCTTCTTCGTACGATATTCGTTCCAGCAAGCCGAAATATCGTACAACCTTCTTCGTGTTCTTCTTCATTTTAGTTAAAACAAAACTACACAAAGTGTTCCGCGCATCTCGTTATTCTCTAAACAAGGGGATACTTCGTCCTCCGACGAAGATCAACGCAAAGCAAAAAAACTCCTCTAGAGAATCAACTATCGTTACAAAGCGCAGGAATTACTCGAAACGAATACTTTATGCGTTGGAAACGCAAAGAACTAACCCTGGAATGGCAAACATGAGTCATCGACGTTGGCCATTAATGTTATCAACGCTATGACAGAGAACTTTGTATTCCGAAAGGAACTTTCCAGTATTGACGGTGATTTAACGATGCTTTCCAGAAAATTTGTTGTTTCGAATACATAAAAATCGGATGCAGTGTGTGTGTGTGTGCTTCATTTAACGATTCCAGCAATACATGTGCCATTGCAGGGTTAATTTCAACGATTACGTGTCCATCATCGATTGCCTCGACGTGGCGAAACGTAAACGTTAATCACCCTCGCGTTCTCTATCAACGAAAGCGACGACTCATTTCGATCCACGATCGATAAGCATCTCAGTTCGTCACCAAACGGAACATTTGTTGACAGGGTTCATTGGCGCACCGAGGGGACAGTCGAAGACTTCCGCAAAATCCTTCGAATTCGATAGAGTACCGATCACACGGAACTTGCCCGGGGAATGCACAGCGGTTTTCAGTTTGTTCCTGGTCGCTTCCGGTCGCATCGAGCCGCACCACACTTGCGCGAAGTTCAGAAAGAACAGTTGTTTCCCGGTCGCGTTCAATCCAGGAAGGGTTTCGTCTGCGTCCCCGTTTAGACGCAGCCATCTTTCGTATGCCTGCGAAAGGTGATTACGAATAAAGGTGCATTTATACAGGGTGAGTCAATAAGAACTATCTAAAATAACTCGTTACCCATTGGTTGTATCAAAAAACGTTTTAATGAATTACGTAGTATTTCAAGGGACATCTATTAAAGAAAAGATGCATTGACCTTGAAAAAACTCATGGTCACTTTGATATCTGGAAAAAAATAATTCATTAAAAGGTTTTCTGATACAACTAATAGGTAACGAGTTATTTTAGATAGTAGTTTTTATCGAATCACCCTGCATTATCCGTTCAGACACGGACCGGTTCCGACAAACTTTCAACCAGAGGTGGGCAGAATTTTATACGAACAAAACATAGTGAAAAGCAGCAGTACCTAAGATCGCCATCCTGACCTTCAAATATTTATTGAGATTACATAATTATTTGCCAAGTGACTTCTCAATGAAGGAGAACTATTATTTTGTAAGCACTTTTTGATCTTTTATTCGTTATTCGAGACTCTTTATCTACACAATTAATTTGCCCACCTCTGCTTCAACTGCATTTGCGCTATCACGCGTCAGAATGTCTGACAGCGTCGAACAGTGTAGGACGGCCCGAATCGTTGCCGGTTCGTGTCTGAACGGATAGTATAAATGCACCTTACAAGTATTACTTCAAAAAAAAAATTCAAATTTTTTCATTAGAGAAGAAACAATTGTTTTTCCCTAGAACACACCCTAAAAGCTTGCTTAATGCCGCCATTATCCGCGATATTCTCTCCTTGCGTATTGACTCCATCTATCTGCATCCCAACTTCGCTGACAGTGTAACGGCTATATTGGTCTGAAAGATTATAACCGTTTCCAAACTTGCAAACGAAGAAGGTTCGAAGTGTAGGAAGGGGACACAAAATACAGTTCCATTACCGATAAGACACTGGGCGCGCTGGTGAAAGCCATAAATAGCATTATATTTCCACCATCTGTGTAGATTACCATCCTTATCGAACAGCCGACCCTTGTCGTCGAAACCGTGAGTAATTTCATGACCGATGACGACACCGATTCCGCCGTAATTCAGGCTCCGCGGAAAGTATCTGTGATAAAATGGCGGCTGTAGTATGCCGGCCGGAAACACTGAGGGTAAAAAGCAGGTTTGTAATTAGTTCAATCTTTCTTTAAGTAACGTAAATACGTCGTCGTAGTACAGTCGCCATTATTTTTTACAGTTACTGTTTTACAATTTCGTTTCGGTCATAGAGTTAAACTGACTTATCCTGTTCTTGCTCCGGCTATAATAAGCGTTGACGACCGCTGGCGCGGTGTTCCATAACGTTTTATTCACAGGGCTGCCGAGACGATCCTGTTCCACCCTGGTCAGATGTTGCAGAATATTCAACGTGTTCTCGAAGTACATGTCTGGATGGATCACGACCTGAAGTTTTCACACGAATCAGATATGTTAACGTACCGCGAGTTTATCGGAATAATCTAATCTCCATAGGGAAAGTCAGCTCCCAGAGCCCTTACATCCTTGTAACGCTCGTTCAGCAGATCCGATTGTAAAATGAAGTCGGGATACCCGATTCTTAGCAGCATTGCGTTCACTTTCTCGGTTGCTAATTCTTTCGTTTCGTCGTCGATCCAGCTGGTCTGATTTAGGAGCTCCCTGAACGATCTCTGAATCTCCCGAGTCATGGACAAAGTCTGCATAGAAGGGAAATTAAAGTGAAAATTGAAAACTTACCTATCTCAGGGTGGTTCGATCACAATCTCTAAAAATTGATATCCTACATTATAATTACGATACTTACATCGTTCTTACTGTTTTCATCGAAATATTTCTTTACAAACATTGACCCGACAGCCATACCCATATTCGAGTTCATCTGAGCCACGCAATTCTTCCACCTGGAAGGCGCCTGTTCTCTACCAAACAGAATGTAATAGAATTTCTGTTTGGCCTCCTGAAATCGGTCGTCCAAATTGTTCACTCTGTGCCTGACGAATCGCCATAGAAGGTAGTTCGCGATGGTTCTGCGAGTGGAACAGAAAAATTAGAAGTTGTTTCACGAGAATACTATTTCATATTTGTCGCAGTACCGTGGACTAGTTTTTGACAGTAGGTTCACCAATTCTTGAATGTATTGTAGCGCGTAAACGACTACAGGTTCGGAGATGTTCGTCGGTCGGGCTAGGACGATCGTCAGGTACCGGTGCCAGTTGATTTGAGGGACCAGAGTTCTCAGCTCCCCGATGCTCATTCTCTTATAGAGTTCTGAAACGTCCCTTCTTTCGTCTGGCGACGACGTGATCTACAGAAAACAATAAATCACTTCAATTTTGAAAGTAGCAAAGAAAAAGTATAGAATCGAAAACTCACCTTATGAAAATATTATATCGTACCTTAGCCAGCTTTGTTTCAAATTCAATCAGCTCGTCAGCATCGATGGTGGCGTTCTGCAAAGACGCGCCCAAGAGAGTTGCGATTTTGATCAAATAACTCTTGTAAGCCTTCAAGTATATCGTGTTCGACGGATGAAGAAAGTAATCCCGCGTAGGAAGGCCCAGTGACGTCTGATCGAACTACAATTAAAATTTTCTTACTATCCACAGAGATCTCTGTAGATCCTGAAGAACTTCTAGATCATGGAAAATTTAGTCAGTTACATGTATCACGTATTCATCGCTGTTCTTAATATCCGGTGCTACCCATTCAGAGATCAGGATATCGTTATTGTACAATCTCAACTGAGCAACTAGAAGCAGCCAATCGAACTTCTCTGGGTCCCAGTTCGGTCTCAAGATAGGCCAACCCCCGAGTTCATCCAGGAGCTGTATAAGCGGCCGTTCCATGCGTTGCTCCAAGATCTCTAGCCACATTTCGCGCGTTAAAATTGTAAATCAATCACGAAAACAGTTCGGATGTCTCGAAAGCAACTTTACTCATGAAACTTAATTGACTCAAAAAATGTAAATACATACCTAAACTTCACACGTTCGCTACCAGACGTCACGTATGTGTGACGGTCCACTTTCTAGCTAAGCATATTTTATTTGACAGAAGCCGAATATATGTGTTTTGCAATATTAACCTATATTTTATGTTATTCATTATTTTTATTTTATATAAAATAAATTTTCTGCAAATCAAAAGCAAGTGAGATACTAAAGATGTTCACGTTGGGTTGGACACTCGGTATATTTTTAATATCTAATCAAGAAAGTAAGACCACTCCGCTGAAGAGACTGATGAAGACTTATCGAGTGGTCTGGGTTAACGTTTTCGAAACCACATGCTGGTAGCGAACATGTTAAAAAAGAAGGAAATAAATCAAGAAAATTATTGGACAGCGGAAGGTGAGTAGTGACCTGTAATTACCGTAATTCATGCAACTCTGGAACAAATGTTTCGCCTTCACGGTCGCGTCGTCGGTATCGTACTCCAGCTCTTTGGGTATCGGGTTCTCGAGTAGCTCTTTCAGGACGGAATCCAACGACTCGCGGATCGTTTCGAAGGTGTCGTAGCCCGCCTTGTCTTTCGGTATCGGATTATGCCTCGCCCAATTACCGCACGCGTACTGATAGAAGTCCCCGCAAGGATCGGCGCCCCTGTCCATGTACGTGAGCATGATTTTTGCTGCGGCGAACATCTGTTTCTTAAAAAGCGTGTGAGCAGGAATTACGGCAGTGCAGCTAGAGGGACAGCATGCCAAGTGTACCTTGAGCCTCTCTGATGTTCCACGCGTCACCCTTGGCCTTCCAGAACGCGTGGAAATCGGGCGTGTCCTCGTCGGATTGCTCGTCGGCGATTGGTAAACTTGTGTCCGAATCCTCGACGGATATCGAGCGACGGCCGCCTTGTTCACCCTCGTCCGACTCGTCTTGGGAAGGTTCTTCGTTGTTGTCGTACTTTCCGTTCGACAGTCTCGAACGAAGCTCCTCCTCGCTTTTCTGGGTGTCGCAGCAGTGCTCGCCGTAGCTTAAAAAATTGGATAACGTTGACGGATACGACGTACACTTGAAAATATACTTTTAAATGGTATAATCTATCTCGAAAGTTTGATAGCCCTAGGCCACGAAAATCTTAATCTGGGCCTGAGTTTCATATAACACGGTAATTATTAGGAACTTAACCACCGTGTTATATGGAGGCTTATCGGTATACTATCCGCCATTTTTTATGCAACACTCTAACAGAAACCTTTGTAATGAAAATAATTACACCAACTTTCGATAGTCGTTGCTCTCTATTTCGGAGGCTTCCTTTATGTCGTCAGTGTACGCCTCGGGATAGTAATCATCCAGATAATTGTCCAAATTTTCATCGGGGTTGGAGTCGTCTATTTTCCCAGCAACATAGTCGGTCGACAGCACCTGCACGCACACATACAAATTTTCAGAATTTGTTTCGGATACTTTAAGCTTATACGTCTCGCGTATTAAATGTGTCGTTAAGAAATTGAACAGTGTACCGATAGACGCGTATGTCATCGAGATTTACTTAAATTTTCAAATACGTTATTTTCCTCTGTTTACGAAAGAGTTCTTCTTCCTAATAGCAGGAAAAAAGAGAAGTCAATTTTAATTGTCCTTGTTCGAAATGAGAGGATTGTCAGTGGGACGATCGATATTTCTACGGTGCACCAGTAACACTAATTTGATGTTGATTAACGCTAATTAACGTTACTGCGCACACGATACTCGTTACTCGAAGTGTCTCGTTGTCTTCTGCAGCGTATCGCTGTATTACTATGAAGAACTCGTTGTTCTGTGCTCAGGAAGCTCATTAAAAATCATTCATAATTTTTCACCCAGTATAAATATCGTCTCTTCAAATTTTATCAAAATTGTACAACGTTTTTGGTGATCTTTCATAATAAAATCATTAACGAGGTAACCCCTTGCGGCCACTACAAGCTTTACATCAATCGATGGAACAAACTCCAACTTCTCAACTGAGAAAAGTTAAGTAACCAGTGTTACAGTAATTTTTTGTTTATTTACAACAGTCCTGAGGCATCTATTGATTACACTACAGTAAATTCTCGATGAGCACTCTCAGGCTCTTCAGCACTGAACATTAAATATTTCATAAACTAATGTCCATATGCGGCTGAAACAAATATCATTGCTACACCTGGGGACGCTGATCGAGGATTTACTGTATTTACAGTATTAAAATTCAACCCTATCTTCAATGAAAGAATAAACAGAACAATGATATTCGGCCATCGAGGAACACTCTAATAATCCACTAAAAAAAACTATAGAACCGCAAGGGGTTGAGCACCGAGTATTGAAAGTCAAAATAACCGACCGAACCGATCGCGTGTTAAAAGAAGATTCAGATCGTCGCTCACACGTCTTCGTTCTCGTTCGTCCGGCGACAACCCGTCGCGATTTCTCGTTACTGAGACCCGACCTGAGTGGATCGTTCCCTGGTCTCCTTGTCCTGGTTATCGTTTCGATTCCTAAATAAAATCCTGCGTGGTGTTGCGTTCTCGTCGTGGAATATACGAGATTTTCCGAAAATCGTGGTTTTCCCTTCGGGGTCGACTTTTTTTTTTTGTTTATTTGTTCGCCGATCAACGGAGGCGACTCGAAGGTAAACGATCGTGGAGACGAGATGTCGGACCGGACGTTTTGTGTTTTGGCGTGAACGGAAGAAAAGGCGAAGGGAAGAACAAGAAGAGCACGATGACGGTTATCGGTTAGCTAGGGAGCGTGTCTGAGTGTGGTGTCGCTTTGAATTTGCTTGTGGATAATGTACCCAGTCGAGTTCTCTCTTGCGTCGTCGGAGCTGCCGCGGCGGAAGGACTGTTTCCATCGGCACGTAGCTGGTTTTCATTCCAGCTATTAGGATTCTTTCTTCTTCCTCCTCCTCGCCTGACCGCTCCGTCTCGGTGTTGCTGATCGCTGATAACACAAATCGCGTTAGTCCCTAGAATTACACATTTAATCGATCGTGGAGCATAGTACCCTAATTCTTTCTATGTCCGTTTCATGTTCCCTTTATGGTAATTTATGTCTACTAGAAGTTCATTTTGATGATTGTATCAATCCTAACATAAATATTGACTGCATCTTGGTCGCTCGAGAGTGGATTCATTGATAATCGTGCGTATACTAAAAGAATATTATATGTAGAGATAACTCAGAAAAAAATCTGCAGTCACGTGCCAGAAATTCCGATTCATTATAAAGACAACGGGTGGGTTAATTTCTGTATCGTTGACGTTAATCGTTTCCCGCGATCCTCCTGCAGTAACTGCCCGACAAATCACGGTCACGCGCACGCACTTTACTCTAAACGGATCCTTGAGCAACCAACCAAGCCGGACGTCGTTAAAGTCAAGTTCATTTTACGAGCTACAGCAAGAGACGTACGCGGAAGTGTTTCCTCGGTCCTCTCGTCCTGTCTTCGTCCGGTCGCGTGGATCAAATAAGTTCGATGATAGGGTCCCTTTCCGATAACCTGGGATCGCGACAACGCGATAAAGATTATAGTGATCGGCAGTAACACTGCGGGGATCAGTAACATCAGCTTGACGCGAAAGCGCCAAGTGTCGTTTCCACCCATGCACCACCTGCCACAAGTTAAAACAATACTTCTTATCTGATTCTGTCGAACCACCAGAGAGACTAAAACTATGTTCCATTACTGACTTCAATCGTCCAGTTTCCTTGTTGATAGCCAATCTACAGGAAGGGCAGGGTCCTCCGCTGAAGAAATCGTCGTCGTTGTACTGACTCAAGCCACTTCCACCCCTCATCTTTTCTGAAAGCAAGTCGTGTTGTTCTCAGCTGTTCGTTCTACTTCATGGTTGATATCGATCACAAAAGTGCACAATCGGATATGACCGTATTTCACGGGATCGTTCGCGAGTCTCTGGGGGTAGCTGACGTGCTAGCTAAACGCTCGCGTCCCGATTTTACATTGTCGAGCGAAAACACACTCGCGTGTCCCTGTCTCCCAGCCTGGGACCGAACGGATCGTACTAACGGGGACGGCCGAATCGCCGCGAAGTGTCTCTCTGGGCGAACCGTAGCGCCGATTCTTTTCACGGTGACGCCGCGCCCGTGAAGAGGAACAGACTGAAGCTATTGTGCGGGCAGCGATCACGGCACGAATGTTAATGTAGCATTGCGCGTACGAGCAAATTAGTCCCAGCGACATTTGTACGGGGAGTAATTTACATATGTAACGTCGTCGGGCGGTCAACGCCAATGGCGATGGTAACAACAATCGAGGCGGAGGCCTCTGTACGTGCACGCACACCGCGAGAGGCATTTTACGCGCTCCTTACGTCCAGTTACTCGTCAATCGACCCTAATAACTTGCAGTTATCGTTCAATAACGCGTCGCGCTGTTTTACATTCTACACGTGACCCCCCCCGACATTATTAACGTCTTTTCTCATCGCCAGCAACCGGATTGCCGTTACAAGACGTAAGGAACGGCGAATGGCGAACAGAGCAATCCGGTACGCGCGGTCACTTCCGATTTTTCGCTTGAACGATTCCAGCCCCGTACGCCACACGCGTGATCGGTGCTACCGGATACTGGGTCCCCTTAGGTGACGATGTTCCGGGGACTAGTGACCCTTATTTTACAGCTTCGTAGATACACACGAACTTGAGGTTGTACATATTTTACTCGCTCGAAGATGCATGGTTTGTTTTCAGCGTAGCTGTGAATAGTTAATGTCTCGGTTTCTCACTCAACATTCGGTACTTGATGATGATTGAAATCATTCTGTTTAAAAAAATTAGGCGAAATTAGTCGTACTAATGAGGGATATTCAGGTCGAGAGATTTATACGAGTGAAAATGCTACGGGTCCGTGTGAACACAAGGTTGTACGATTGCTGGAACCATCAGTATTGCGAGAGTTATCGCGTGATATTGCTTTTAGGTGACATAATGATCCAGATATACATGCTTCTGCTTAATTGCACAGGTGTCCTTAAATTTCCTAGACTCCTTAAGAGAAGTGGTTTTGGTTACCATAGATTAATACTATTTATATTGTAAAGCTATAACAAATAATCGAAACGTCCACAAGATTTCCTATGTATAGAAACTAATTAATTGTGAAAGTAACTGCACATTATTGCAGCGCATTTTTATTATAATTAAACTGTATATGATTGTTATTTCTTTTTTTAAATCTGCAGTAATCATTTCGATAACTCACTGATAGATTGCAATTTTCTTCTACTAATGTAATTTTCATGATTTGGCGAAAACTTCCAATATACTATCTTGCAACCATAAAGTCCTTCCTCAGGGGTCATCATATTGGACAAGATCGCGATATCGAAATTTGTGATTCGAGTCCCAAATTAATTTTATTTCCTTCTCTTCGTATTGACGTCGCGCCTTAACCAAATGCTCTGTAGTGAGAAATGAAATTCTTATGATTCTAATTTCAAGTTATTGATAATCTTTTGTTTATATTACACATTACAGTAAGTTACTGATTAGGAAAGATTCAGAGAATATAGTGTTGATGATTATATAACATTGTAAGTTTAATCGATTGAGTAAACTTCTGTAAACTAAATTTCAATTCTTACAAAGAATTTATTGTTTACCAACAAATATTTACAGAGATTGTATTTTAGACTTTGCTACTGTACAATGTCAGACAGTTGCTTGTACAATTCGTTCCATCTGTTCATGAACCGTGAGTCGATGTTCCATTTTTACTTCTTTACCTAAACAAAAATATGATGGGCCTAATTCTGAGATTGCAGCACTACCTAAACACTCCTCTCCATTATATAAAACTGCAAACTAAAACAGTAATTGTAACACTTAAATATCTATTACCAATTATTTGTAAAGTTAATACTCAAGGTAAAAAGTACCTGTCCTTTTGTAATAGCTCTCAAAGGTTGACTAATTTTAATTATTAATTGATTATTCAAAGCCTTGTGGGCAATACATGGCACCGAAGGATCTGTATGTTGGAAACGAAAATGACAACTAAGCATGTTGAAGTAACTATTAAGTTCCTTTGGCTCTTCAGATATCCAATGAGGAGTTTCTGTTGTAAAAATATCTGAATACAATGCTGCATGATTTGTTCCTCCTACCTATGAACATTAATAAATAATAGTTGTTTCTTTTCATTCCATGTAAAATAAATTCCAGTGACATTATTTATACGTACTAAAAATATGTTATTACTTTCCACATCCTTTTTATAGACAAAATACGCATCCGAACTACCTCCAATTTTGGTTCTCTGACCAATTGTCCAATGATGAAAACCCATGTGTTTTCCAACCACTTTTCCATTTCTTATGTCTATAAAGTTCCCTGGTTTGCTTGGTATATACTATAAATAATATGCAACAATATATAAGTATTGTAACAACGCATAGCTGACGTGATTGTATACCTCAGATATAAAGTCCTGAAAATTTCGTTTTCCCACAAAACATATACCCACACTTTCCTTCTTATTAGCGACTAAATCTAATCCAGCTTCACGGGCAATTTGTTTAACATTAGGTTTCAAATAGTCTCCTAGAGGAAACATGGAGTATCTTAATGGATTTTGTGGTACCTGACACAAAAATAATGTTTGATCTTTCTTTTTGTCTTCTGCCCTAAATAAACGAACATCTAAAAAAATATTGAATGTAAAATTGTAAAAAATGAAACAATTAATGCAATCATATAACACGAATATTTAAATATGAATGTCATACTTACTTGTGTCTGGTTTAAAATTTTCAAGGTAGGAACCAAAACTAGTTCTGGCATAGTGGCCAGTTGCAATAGCATCTGCTTGAAGCTCATTACGTGCAAATTTAAAAAATATGTCAAATTTAATATTTTTGTTGCACAAAATATCTGGATTTGGAGTATATCCATTCTCATACTGTTCTATCATGTAACTAGAAAATAACAAGAATGGTGAAATATTAAACTGAAATAAAAGTAAATGAAGCTATAGTTTATATTGAATAAAGAAATACCTGAAGACATTATTCCAATAGTCTTTCACAAAATTAACTTGCACAAGAGGTATTCGTAATTTATCGCACACCCACTGTGCATGTTCATAATCTTCTTCAGTTGCACACCTTCCAGTTTCATCAGCAATGTCCCAATTTTTCATAAACACTCCAGTAACATTGAATCCTTTGAGAATTCTATGTTTAATATTTTGAATGCATTATTAACAAAAGTATAATACCAGACCTTACAATATTTTTAAGTCACCTTTATTTTTTAACAAAAGTGCTGCCACAGCACTATCAACTCCACCAGATATGCCTATAACCACTTTTTTAAACATTTTCAGACTGATCTTTTAATCAACAATATATGTTGAATTCTTATACAAAATACATTCAAATACAGTCTTCTTTATGTAAGGATTATCTTAATGTGGTTTATTAATTTAAAAAAAATGTGGAGAGACCTATTAAATAAGGGCATAAAAAATATATTAATGCATACCCATGATGCACCTAATTAATCAATATGAATATGAAGTTATACTTTTTTAAAATAACATTGATTGATTGTACAAGATTTATGAAGATATTAGAATTATGAACAATGTAAAGTGAATTAAACATTATTTTTTACAGTTAATAAAATCAAAATATTCTATATACAAACATTATTTTCTTTATTATTTAAATATTTAGTATGTACAGATGTAAAGAAGAAAGTTTATCAGATTGGTCCTTAAACTTTCTCTTATTAAATCGTCTCGTTAGTAAACACATACTTTTACAAACAATAATTTGTAAACAAAAATCTTCTAGCAACAGTGAACTCAATATGATATACATATTATGTACATATTATGAAGATTCTTACAATATCTGAAATCATTGTGTACGCATCATCGTTTTAACCTAAATCACGTACGTATGGCCGTTACACGTGCACAACTACGATGATAGTATTTCCAAAAAAAACGTAGAAACTTAAAGAGTATTATAGAAGTTAAATGAAAATATCAAATCGATCACATAGTGTCGTATAAGTACACATGTATCTACATACGTATTCAATAGATACTGATTACGTTCTCTACACGTACGGCGTAGTACAGCGAATAAACTGTGCGCGAATTGTACAATATTACAAAGAAAGTCGTGTGACAGCTTGTTGAAAGATTACACAAAAAATATTGAGGTAGAATCTTTAAATGAGATTTAGAATGCAAGAACAGAAAAAATTTAATGAAAGTGTGAAAGTTTATGCACTTGTTTGTGATAAGTCTGTCTTCAGAATGGCTTGAACTATTCGAATAATTCAGTGTCATCTGTATCATAAGTACTTAACATTATCACAAATATTTTTCTTCAAATATTGTAGTATTTGAATATTATTAAACTATTCAACTACATGAATACTAAGTTACAAACAGTGTGTGTTTAGATATTTAAATAATTTTAACATGTACTTATGTACTCGTTATACAAATTCTTTTATATATTTCGTTGTTTCTAAAAAAGATGCACTTAATATTATTGGACGTTAAAGTAATTCCCTAAAGTATTCTGTAAGTTTGTAAATTAAATAAAAATTGTGTACTGTAAGAAATACGTTAAGTTTAATAAAAGTTTAAGATCAATTAATAATATATTTAAAGAATCTCACTCACAGTTTATAAAATTCATACGTTACTTCATATACAATATTTAAATACATAAACGGATTTGAGTACATTTGATCCGCCTATTCGAACATCGAAGTTTTGCTATAACATCGAGAACTTGAATATTCGAATACAGTTCCAATTCGAACACAATATTTAAATACATAAATAGTCGATAAGTATTCGAATTTATAGTATAGTTGAATATTTTAACACAGAAAGATTTGAGAGACAATCGCAGCCCAGATTTCGAGGCTCGCGCGTAGGTCGATGCCCGAAAATCGTCGGCCAATCATCGCTCGGCTCTCTGCTCGGGGACCAGTCAAGCACGTTGACAGATATGCAACGGCTGCTCGCAGGAGGTTGCATATTTCGAATGGCAATTTATAGTGTGACAAGCAACGTATCGTGTGCTAGTCCCGTACATAGGATTAGACGAAATTCCGGAGACGATTCGCCGATTTTCGAAGAAATGCGCGTTTTTGGTGCAAGTGCAACCCATTTTGCGCAGTTTCCATGACCCAGATTATGATGGGGAGTTCGCTCGCCTTTCGGAACAGCTGTTGGCCGCGCGAACATGTCGGCCGCGGGGAAACGCTTGGATATTTCGTGGACTGCGCGCGCCTCTTGGCGGCTTCGCCGCCACAATTTTCAGGGCCGTCTCTCCTACCGACACATTAGGGACCACACGATTCTCCAATTTCATCGACGCGATCAACTTTCTTCTGAAGATGCCCCGCGCTAGTTTCTTTGTGTGATTTCGCGAGATACACTGACTTTTCTCCTCAGAAAAGTATTTAAACCTCTTGAAGATCAATGAAATGGAATTCATCCGAAAAAATCAACTCACTGAAAACAGCGTTATACCTGATCTTCTATATATCACGTTAACTGGTTCCTGTTAATTTTTCGTCGATTTTTTTCATTTCACACTATTCACACAAAATGTTTCGTGCTGTTACCGCAGTTTGTACGAAATTACGCGTATCTCGCTCGGTCCGCGTCAAATCGCTGTCTACTATGGCGTAATTAAAATTCCATATGCTGTGAGGACCACACGATAGTGCACCGACGAACTGAACTCGTAAACTGTGTGTGGCTTCGCAGTTATTAAACAGTGTGCATACTACTATAAGTGACTAAACGAGAAGCTCATGTGCAAAAGTGCTCAAAAGAAAGTTCGACGGTGTGTTATTCTAGATTCTAGACTGTCCGATGTATTTGGATCTATCATTTTTTTTGGAAGAAACATTTGTTGATCGAGCAAGAATTATTACGACAATGTTTGCTTGAAATGAGAAGTATCAGTGGCAAATTAAAAAGATACGAACGGATTCCGAGCAACTGAAAATATTTTAGTACTTGCAGTTCTAGCAGTCTCGAATTGTCAGTGATCGTCTAGAAAGCGTGGTGAAGCGAGAGCGGTAGAAAAATACAATTCCGACAAACTCACGCGCGCGTACTTGTCATGTTATTACGTTCTGAACGACTCCGGTCGCCGATCACATTTCGAGTGATTCCAGATACCCTAAGGCGGGTTTGAAGAGTTTGGTGTCCGTGTCGAAGAAGAGAAGAAACGCGCTGAGAAAAAGGCAGCGAAGTGTGATCGATGCACGATTAATGAAAGTTCGAAAAAGAAGTCTGTCGCGAGGGCTGGTGCGTGGCACGTAATATGCTTTGCAGGAGGTACCCGAGGTGGTTGGTAACAGAGACGCTTGGCGGATGGATACGGTCCTGCTCGATCCCCTCCACCTTCCTCATCCCGCTACACGACCAGTCAGTTCCTTGTTTGCCATACAAAATCCAATAGTTTGCCTTGTACCTCGAGAGTGCGAGTATGTCTTTTGCATTTCCCTTTTCTCCCGTTGGAAAAAGTGCGGCGATCCACTCGAGATACTCGCGAAAATGTGCATTTTACTGAGTTTGTTTACACACACGACGAGATTCCGATGGTATTGAGAGGGAGAGCCAAGGGAGCATAGTGAATTCCTGTCGCGAACGAACCGACCGGCCCGTTAAGGCTTCGTCGATTTTTCGGTCGTGGAAAAAAAGGCAACGGAGCCGAGGCTTTTTGTCGCGGAAAGTCAGTCGAACGACTGAGAAAATAAGAGGACCCGATTCAGAGCGGGCAAGCTCGTGCAAGTGACGAGGTGTTGTGCCACTCGAGGTGGTTCCCTTTTGTAAAAGGAGCACCGCCAGGACCGATCATTTTCACTGGAGCTCTCGGGGAAAATGTGTTATGTATTTACGTGGAATATTGCGTAACGTCGAGGGCCGGGAAGTGTTTGGAAACGTGCAACACTGACAAACCTCGCTTCGACGACTTCACACGGGGACGGCGACTGTACGCGTCCGTGCAGCTGGCTTTACCGGCTCTATTTCGTCCCTCTGCCCCAGCGAAATCCCCTCGCGAGGCCCGATACCGCGATCGAAATTTTCCGACGAAAGAAATCCCGACGACCGCCGCATCCACTCCTCAAGGGGCAGAACTCTCGTCGCCGATTCACCGCCTCACGTCGACCACTTGCTTCTGGACACCTCTTCCCTTCGATATTACCCTGGTGCAAGGACTTTCAACTTCTTTTCAGATGGAAATTGGTATGTACACATCTTGCATTAAGTTGTTGCACACGAGTATTTGCTTTCTTTCATTTAACAGTTCCAGCTAGCTTGTCTTGAGTTAGAATGTAATGTATCTGGATCTAAAGACTCGATGCAACTTTTTATGTCTCTTTCAAATAGGCACATTGACTTGTCTATTCTAAGCTTCCTTCGAATGACATTGTTAGTCATAATTACTTACGCACTTGAAGCGTATATGAATGATTGAAACTCGTAGGAAACATTTCAGATTCTTAATGTAGCGAATAGATTTCTGTTTAGTTCCCATTTTTTTCAAGGTATCACATGAAACTCTAAACTTTCATTGATGTTTACAATCATTATTTGTCACCAGCTTGTGGATGTTTATGGAAATCCCCCAATTAATATGTATAAACAGAAGTTAAATAGTTTGCATTCTGTAGTTACAGATTGAATGGGCTTAAACATGAAAAGTCTCATGAAACTTTGTTTTGTTGCGATCGTACATACTGACATACATCACAAATGTATAAACATCTACAGTATTCTCATAGATATTTGAGGTTTTATAAGATACGTGAATGTACAAAACTTGAAGAAAGTATTCATTTCCGTATTTGTTACCTAATGAAACCTTCAATTTTGGTTATAAGTGTTGTTTGGTGTAGTTTACTCACTTGTAGGTATCATAAATGTGGAAAATCTAGAGTTAATTTACGAATTTCAACAGATTTCTTCTTGGATCAAATTTTGTGTATATCCTTACAACTAAATTTTGGAAAATAGTATTGAATTTTTATTCGCGTAATGTGATTCTTCACAGACAGGTAATTTAAATGCCCTAATATTTCTATTACATACACTGATGGTAGTATGCATAGATTGGATGGAATTTCTTTGTTTTAAATCATAACAATTATTAATGAAACAATCACTATGTTACATTATAACATAACCAAGTTTTGAAAAAAGTAATAGTTTACATGTAGTTAACAAATATTTGTTATACATTTTTCTTTCCCCTGAGTCAGTGACACGACTATATCTTTGCAAGGTCATTATAAACCATTATATGGATTTAGATATATTATGCGGCTATAGAAGCAGTAGGTTACAATTATTTTTATAACACAGTTTACATTATAGTACATCTCTCTTTTATAGAGTGGTTTCTGTCTCTTATAACTTCTATATTTTGGGATCAAGAATATATACATATACATATATAATATGTATGATTTCAATCATATATGAAAATTTTTTTGTAGTGTTTTTTTAACATTTCTTACTAGTTGCATTGCTATGAAAAAAAGTTCGTATAGAAAAATCGATGATGTTCAGAACAGTTTTTAATATTAGACTTAATAAAAGTGGAACACATTTTATTGATAGTCACATTTATTTGAACAAAATGAACTAATGTGTTTATAGATATAAATGATGCAAAATATGAGTGTGAAGGATTTCTATTTAATCATAAATGTAGTACTATTGCACAGATAATACGCTTAAAGTTAAAGTATATAATTTAAAAGCTAAAGTTAAAATACATTTTATATTTATCTATTAAACATATTCTTATACCCTATCACTTGTTTTATTTCATTGAAAAGTAACTGAATAATTACATAAATGAAAGCACATGACAGTATGGCAATTAAAGATATGCAAGAATGTTAAGTAATTATGGGAAAAAAATATGTATATTTTATATATGCATGAGGCAGTACTACCTATTGTTCACATACCTTGAAGAAAGATACTCATGTTTTCGTATTTTTATGCATATATAGCTGCATACAATATGTAGCATCCTTTATGTGAGGTTATATTATTTTAAGGTCTTGAAATCAAAGATCAACAAGAATCTTTTGCATTATATGTACAGTTATTCTTTACAACTACAGTTTCCATCTATGTGAATACGAAAATACAAGCATGTGCACATTAATTGTTTAATATTATGCAATATATATAGCAGTGGTAGGTATGAGTAATTCAATTATTTTTAACTTGAAATTTAAGCGAGAAAATCTATTCAGGTGTTTTTGAACATTCGAAATAAAATTACAACATGAAATAGTACGTTTTTAATCAGATATGTACAGGAGAACAAGATCACTTTGTAAGCACAATCACACCCAACGTGTTCGAATCAAAGGAAATGTGAACGGAAGCGTCGTAATTCGTAATCGAGATTGATTTTTTCGCACAAGAACGATAAATTTTCACCTTACGGTCGATTTTCTGATTCCTTAACGTATCTAGAGACGGGAAGTTTCTTCTACGCACGAAGTTACGGGAAAGTGCTCACGTTGCTTCTGTTTCCTCACGAGTTCTGTCACACGAAGCGCGGTGCATTCAAACTTCCAAAATGATTCTTTACATTGAAATCGATTCATGAAATAATATTGAACTTAATTTCAGGATTACAATTTCGAAACACGTGAGAATATATTTATGTGTGCGTTGGCTCGCGTACTGCGGATGCATGGCGTCATTTTATCACCGTAAACGAAACAATACCGAACACTTTCGAAGCTGTACGAGCTCTTCCGTTTGCCTGTGGCGCGCCAAACTTATGAGGCGGTCGAAAGTATAATGTCCGTATTTTCATGTATACACACTAATTTTTTTGTATTAGAAAATAATAAATTTATCGAAATATAAATTATTAGTAAATTAAAAGGAAATACAAATACAGAAGTTATAATAACAAGTTGAGTTTTCGTTATATTTTCTTTTCTATATTTATATTATGAATAAATGAAATTCGCATTTCATTATTTTTGAATATTAAATAATCTTTCTTATTTAACGAAAATTCATTATTTTTTCAAATTATTGCTTCAGGTGAAGGGTGTGATATCTAGGATATTGAATCAAATGCCAGCAAGGAAACACTATACCTGTTTTAGCACCTTCTCAATAAATATGGATTATCAGCATTGATGGGTACAAAAGGGGGGTTTCAAATATTATGTTAAAAATTATGAAATATCTCGTCGATTACTTTTATATAAAATAAGTGTAGAAAATTCACTTGTCTTTGAATAACTTTCATAAGAGATTCATAATAAAAAGATTTTGAGTTCAATTCCTGTATATAAATTCGTATTTTTTCAGATCGCTTTATAATTTTCAAACAAGAATAACGTGCATTTATCGGTATTTACAGAACGTTCCAAAGCGTTTTGAGTATGAAAGACAGACTCACTTAAGATGTATAGGTTGTTTGCACTCATCCTCTTTTTGTAAGGTTCGAAAACATAGTGTTAGTTAAGCACGTTTACTAAAGGATCATAGACGTTTGTCGTACTGGATCTGTAAGCAACTGTAGGATTAAGCAATATGTGAATATCCACGTGAAATTTGTGCCCACACGACACTGTCTCTCAATTCGTAGCATTTCCAATGTGATCTGCGATGAAACGCGTTCGCGGGCTGGACGAGGTAGCATCACCAGCAGCAGCAACATTAAAGCACTCGTCAGTGAGTGCAGGAAGTGGCTTAGGTGGCGGAGGAGGTGGTTTGGAGTATCATTCAAGCAGTGGAATAGGCGTTGTTGTACCTGGCCAAGCAGTTCGATCAGTTACTTCGAAAGAAATGCCGGGTAGCATACAATTCGGAAGTGCCCAAGCTCAACAGCAATACACCGGAGCAATTGTTGTGCCCACCGCGGCTCCGTCCCCCATTAAGGTGCGTTATTCACGTGCAGCGACAACAACGACCAGTGGAACATCAATTGTAACATTTTGTACTCGTGTTTTACCCTTTTTTGTTTTTTAAATTTTGAATTTGCATGTTTCAGTATTTTTATTTATTTCGATACTATCGTTTACATTCGTCTCTCTCATGAAATACAAATACACGCAGCATTGATGCGATAGTGACTGAAATTAATCCGCTTAAAAGCGACCCGTCGAATTAAACGTCCGCACGGTACGCTTTTGTAATTGCCGCGTTAGTAAATTTGGTTCCGTAATCTAATTAACACTGTGTGATGCGGAGCTGATACAATAAACGTGGAATTTTCGAGATTTTTGCTTGATCTTTTATATTTTGTCTTTATTTGAAATGTATTGGTAATGTTGTTTTTCGTTATTAACAAAATTGTCAACGTGTTACAATTGTTATGTATATTTATTTTAGGGAAGTGGATCTGCAGGACTTACTACTACATGTGGCAGTAGCAGTGTAAATACTGGTGGAGGGTTGCATAGTGGGATAGGTGGTGGGAGTAACCATAGTATGGGTTCTCAGCAACCTGCACCAGGAACACAGAGTCAAGTTCATAGCCAGCAACAGCCAACAATAAGGCATAAGGTTCATATTACATAATATACAGATAATAAATTTCAAATATCCAACAAAAAAAATTTTTATTGTGTGACTCTTTTCTGACCATACAATGGTATGTGCACAAATGTAGTATTTAAACATTGTTGTGCAGTTGAATTTTCGAATATCATTTTCAATTCTCTGAGAAACGAGTTGCAGATCAATTTTATTATTCCATTTGTAGGTCCACTCTGGAAATGTAACGCCACTAGCTTCAACCCCACCAGGCTCTAGCCTAGGTGGTGGAAGTGGGTCCCAACAATTTCAGAGATTAAAAGTAGAGGATGCATTGTCTTACTTAGATCAAGTCAAGTACAAATTTAGTGATCAGCCACAGGTACGATTTAGATGAATTTAGATAATCGATTTTATCGAGTATTGTCCATAGGCAATCATTACAAATAATCATATTGCATACTTATTGTAGGTGTATAATGACTTCTTAGATATTATGAAAGAATTTAAGTCGCAAAGCATAGATACTCCAGGTGTTATAACACGAGTGAGTCATTTATTCAAAGGGCACCCTGAGCTTATTGTGGGTTTCAATACATTTCTTCCACCTGGATATAAAATAGAGGTGCAAGCGAATGAACAAGGATATGCGTTTCAAGTATCTGTCAGTATGCCAAGTCCAACTGCAACACATACTGCTACCTTATCGCAGCATCATTGCACAGTCAATGTAGGTTCACCTCCTGTTGCAAGTCCACCAACACAACCAGCAAAGGCACCCCCAGTTTTACAAATAATGCACGGGTAAGGCATATTCATATTCTGTGTATTGATTTTTTACTTATGATTAATGCAGGAAGTAATACTTGATTTTTATTCTACACCAGGTCCGGGAATATACATCACTCTCACATTTCAAACAATATTTCCAACAACAGTTTAACAGTGCATGCACCATCACCGCCACCGGTGCAGGCATACAATAATTCACATGTTAGTGCGGCACAAGCTCAGGCTGTTAGTCAAGCATTAAGTCAAGCACAAGATGGAATACCAACTAGTGGGCAAACACAACAGAGCCAACCGGTTGAATTTAACCATGCAATTAATTATGTTAATAAAATCAAGGTTTGTGTTCAATTAAAAGAGTCGACAAAGGTAACGTGTAGAACATTTCGTTATTATTAAGTAAATTTTTGCGAATTACAGAACCGATTCCAAGGTCAGCCGGACAAATACAAACGGTTCCTGGAAATATTGCATACTTATCAAAAAGAGCAACGGAACTTAAAAGAATCTGGGCACATGGGTGGCACAAGTGGATCCGGTGGTACTGGCGGAGCGAAGCTAACAGAGGCAGAAGTTTACAGTCAAGTTGCCAAATTGTTCGAGAATCAAGAAGACTTGCTCGCCGAGTTTGGTCAGTTTTTGCCAGACGCCACTAATCAACAGAGCTCATTGGTGAGTGAAACATAACATAGTAGTCCATCCCATTGTCAAGGTTTTTTTCGAACCGACTTTGTAACAGCAAACTCTGATTGGTATTAGTCTGTTATGTTTCAGAGTAACAAGACTGCTACAGTTAATGATCACACAACAATCGTTAAGAAACCATTGGGACCCAAGGCACCTTACAATAATTCGGGGAATATCTCGAGAGAACTTCGAGAGTCGAGCGGCACCAGTACGATAGAACGTGAAAGCCGCGATCACAGGGATCGCGAACGAGAACGGGACAGATCCGGCGTTCGAGATATCAACAGTGCCCAGAAATGTAGTCACAATACGGGACCATTGAGTCACAAACGGAGTCCATCGTTTTCCCCGTCGGTAACAGCCGGAAATTCACATCACATACAGCACGGTCCACCCCCAAAGAAGCCTAAAGTAACGTCCATGCGTGAATGCGTTACCACAGCAGAGGCTGGGAAGTATGGGAGTCTGAATGACTATGCTTTTTTCGACAAGGTTAGTGGTCTCAGTTCGAAATTACTACAGCATTAATCCTTTCGTGACCACCTTAGTTTTTTTTTTTTAAAGAATTTCTTTATCTGCCGTTCCTCGCGTCTGTACCGGATGCTTAAACTGTGATCAATTTTTGTTTATTTTCAACTTCTGGTTTTTTTTTTGACGAAAATATACCCTCACAAAGAACTCCACCATTACAGTTTTACGCGGGAAACTGCTATCCGGCACGCCACACACAGTTCGAGTACTCAAGTGGGACATGCGTATCGCTGGTCACGAAAGGGTTAAATTAAGAAAGAAATGTTCGAATGTAAATGTATTGTGTAGGTGCGGAAAGCGCTAAGATCTCAAGAAGTCTACGAAAACTTCCTGAGATGCTTAGTCCTGTTTAACCAAGAGATCGTGTCCAAATCTGAACTGGTGCAATTGATAACGCCATTTCTTGGTCGCTTTCCCGAGCTTTTACGCTGGTTCAAAGACTTCCTGGGCCATTTACCCGAGTCCTCTACCACCACTACAACCAATACGGCAAGCAATATGAATGTCGAAGCGTTACCAAATAATGTCGTACGAAGTCATCAAGAGCGTCCTCAGGGCGATCTGGCCATGGAAATAGACTATACAGCATGCAAACGTCTCGGGGCGTCGTATTGCGCGTTACCAAAGTCTTACGTTCAACCAAAGTGTACAGGAAGAACGCAGTTGTGTAAAGAAGTTCTTAACGATACGTGGGTCTCGTTTCCAACGTGGTCTGAAGACAGCACATTTGTAACGTCAAGGTTTGTATATGTCCATTGTCATTTTCATATATTCGTATTCAGTCGATGTGTAAGCGGTGGAGCGCGGCAGCCGTCTTTGTTTATGGTTGAGTTACATGGATCAAGGGAAGAAGAACAATCGACGGGCCGGGAATTGATTAAAGCAAGTCATCCAGAAAGCGAAAGATCCGAGTTCGATTGCCGATACCTAATCGATCGACTTCTTCTTCTACGGATAATTGAATTTGTAATTGAATATGCTTTCAGGAAAACCCAATACGAGGAGTTCATCTACCGTTGCGAGGATGAACGATTCGAATTAGACGGCGTGATAGAAACAAACGCATCTACGATTCGAGTTCTCGAAGGTGTCCACAAGAAAATGAGTAGAATGAGTCAAGAGGAACTTCAGAAATTCAAGCTCGATGATTGCCTCGGTGGTTGTTCGCCTACGATTCACCAAAGAGCACTGAAGAGGATATACGGCGATAAGGCGACCGATATCATAGAAGGTCTTAAAAGGAATCCGGTGGTTGCGGTACCTGTGGTTCTTCGGCGACTGAAAAGTAAAGAGGAAGAATGGCGGGAGGCCCAAAAAGGTTTCAATAAAATTTGGAGGGAACAGAATGAAAAGTACTATCTGAAATCCCTAGACCATCAGGGTATCAACTTTAAGCAAAACGACGTGAAAGCTCTCAGGTCCAAAAGTTTATTCAACGAGATCGAGACGTTGTACGATGAAAGGCACGAACAAGTTGACGATGGCAGCGGAGATGGACAAAATAACAGCGGGCCACATCTTGTGCTACCCTATAAGGATAAATCGGTTCTAGATGATGCAGCTAACCTTTTGATTCATCATGTAAAGCGTCAAACGGCAATCCACAAAGAAGACAAGCAACGAATAAAGCTCTTATTAAAACATTTTATACCTGATCTTTTCTTTCATCCACGCCAAGAACTCAGTGACGATGAGAGGGACGAAGATGGTAAGTGAAATTGTACAATTAAAAAAAATATATTTGTGTCTTATAGAATATAACGATGGTATGTATAATTTGTAATTGTTATCATAGATGAAAAAGAAGACCTGAATGTAGCAGCGTGTAGCAATTCTCAGTCAGTGACAATGAATACATCTCCGTTGGGTGGTGGTCTACAAGCGAATAGGAATAAGGCACCGGTATCGCCGATTCCGTCTTCCACGTCGATTAAAACCGAACCTGACATCAAATTACCCATCCATGCCTTGTCGAATGACCCTGAGGAAGCGTACACGCTCTTCATGGGCAGTAACAATTGGTACCTCTTTTTGAGGTTACATCACATTCTGTGTGAAAGATTAACGAAAATGTATGAAAGGGCTGTCGCCCTCGCTGAAGAGGAATCACGATTCAAACAGCAACGGAAAGAAAGTACAGCTGTTGCTTTAAGATTAAAACCTAAAAGTGAGTAATATATTATTTCTTCGTGTATGAGAATTGTAAAATGTGAACAGTATTTCATCCTAATTTAATACGATCGTATATGTTACGCAGATGAAATTGAAATCGAAGATTATTACCCTGCATTTTTGGATATGGTTAAAAATGTCCTGGACGGTAATATGGAGAGTACTGCGTACGAAGATACCCTGCGAGAAATGTTTGGTATCCACGCGTATATTGCCTTCACGTTGGACAAGGTCGTTACGTACGCTGTGAGACAAGTAAGTACTATGCGTATTAATATTTGTAAATGCGAAGATATATTACTTTTGTGTGGACTCTTAAAAAAAATATGAAATATTCAGTTGCAGCATTTAGTTTCGGACCCCATATGTCAACAATGTACGGACTTATTCCAACGAGAACAAAGACAACCAAAAGAAAGCAGTGGCGCGGGTGGTTTATGTGCTACTGCGTACATGAGACTTGGTGCAGAAATGGCGTACCAACGCAAAGCTGAAAAAGCTATGGCGGAAGAAAATTGTTTTAAAATATATATAGTAAGTATTTAATAGTAATTTACTTTTTAAAATAACACTGGTCTTGAAATAATCGTACGCGTATTCCGGTTAACGTTTGTTTAATACATTATTCAATTTTAGCTAGCAGTATACAATGGGCATAACTTGAATTACAAATAAAACATTATTTCCATTATTTTAGGAGATATACAATAATGTAAATGTATAATTTTTCATTGTTACAGTATAAAAAGGACTGTAAGATGACAATGGAATTATTGGATACGGAAGGTGATGAGGCGATGGAAGGGAAGGAGTTACAGTATCTGAAAAATGGTCTACGTATGTTGAGAGGTTTTCTGCTCCAGCTGGTCAGACTAGCCCGAAAGACACCCCTACCTTAACAGACAATGAGCCAACAACCAATCATCCTGTGAGTAACGACCAGGCAGCAAGGGGGGGTAGGGGCAGAAAGCGCAAGAACACTGACATTAGCAAGAAGGTATAGGATCCACATCCCTTTTCATAATCATTGCCAACGTTGCAGTTTACGTTCATTCGTAATTTGATGTCTGTGATTGGAGTTGTACCGTTGCCATTCTGTGTACAACTAGTGTCCCAAAGAACGAAAGTTTTTTATCGAACTTTCTTCTATATTATTTCGTGTGATCGTATTAAATACAGAGGGAGGTATTCGTGTGTGAACATTTTAATCGCAGTCAGGTACTTTTCCAGAAAATCTGTCTTCGAGAAAATCTTTGTTGACTTCCTTGCAAAAAAACAAAAGAGTAGAAGAATATTTTAGGAACGAAACGATGTTGACATTATACGAATGGGGTCAGAGCACTGGTTCATATACTTGTCGTTGCATAGAAATCGCAGAACTTTGTATACATATAAGCAGAATGAACTAATTATTCTTTTAATCGCAGAAAAAGAAAACTGAAGGTCATATATATATATTTATTTTCGTAATATTTAAGAAGATAAGAGAATACACATGATTTCCATCTGAGTGCGTCCAACGTGGTGCTGTAAATTAAGTGAAATTTTTGCGGATAGTGCACTACACAAACGAATTCCCATTCTTTATTCTCTATGTAGATTCGCTCACCATTCTGGTGTGTTTGCTGCACCGTTAGCTGTTACACGACAAATTATAAATTATATTTCTATATTTTAAATATTGACTTACGATAGGACAACGATATCCGAGTAGTAATTTTTCCAAATCTCCAATGCAGAAGATTGTCAAGAGCATTCACAACTATGCTACCGCTATTGCTGTATTATTCATCGATTCTGTGTAATTTGCTTTGCTTCCTCGTTTCTGTATGATGTGAACAGTTTCTAGGTTGACTTGTTTGTTCGTGTAATTATTCGTCAGGGGTTTTCTTTTCAACGTAGTGTGATATCTTCTTTTATTCGGAGTTTTACTTACGCGTTTAGGGTTGAAAGCTATTTACAAAATACGTTTGAAAGAGAATGCACGATATATCTGAACTGACGGAACAGAAAAATCTTTGTTTTTCGTTTTTCCTTTTAATTTTATCTAAATATTAGTATTTATTTATCTCGTTGTTATCTAATAACGTTCTTGTTTGTTTTATGTTTATGTTTTCAAAACGATTTTTAACGTGAGATCATATTTAAGAAATCAACCGAAGCTTTGAAAGCTTGCAAAAGTGGAATTCCCAGACTCATTAAAAATGACTTGGTTCCATGTTGAAAACATGATCGAGAAAAATTCATTCATCGGGTCAACGAAATGAACAAGGAAAATTTTATGTGTACATTATTCTATTGTCCATTAAAAACGTACTGTCTCCGTAATTGCCCTCCTCGCGTTTCATGGGATGTAATGGTAGTGACAGAAAGTGTGACGCAGATTGCAAATGTACAAAAAAAACAGAGAACAGGAAGGGGTCACGGCATATAGAAATGAAGTTATTACGAGTAGTGCCATAATGAATGTAAAAACGTTAGCTTAAAGAAACGTAACATTTGATATCGGTCAATTCTTAATGTTTCTTTCATTTTCATCACACTTATTATTATAAACTACATAAGATCGTAATTCCTAGAATTTAAAAAGAATGTAAATATTTCATACAAATTTGTACATATGTTTTTTGATACGCAACTTAGGTCGACTGGTAGTGAGCATCATTAACTTGTAAAATTCCACCATTCGCTGTCATATATTCGAACATTAGTGAAGCCTTTGGAAAGGAAACACGGATATTGACTTGTGAACAAACGTTTACACCCACGTCACATTGTACCCCATGCAGTTGTTTGCGGCTTTCTCAGTCGTTCGTCTTGCCTGAATCCGATAAATTTATCTCTGGAAATAATGAATCTGCAAAGAAGATGCATGGCGCGTAACATTTAGAACGTCTTTCAAGAACATCCAAATGGATAAGACATTCTCCTAAGATTAGAAGGTTATTTTTAAATTGGGCCATGTTAACAGTGCATCCAAATTGTACATTTTCTTTTAGATTTTGGAGGCTGTTTCTTGAAATGGTCGTTAATATATTTCATTGGTAGTACCGAAGCCTGTTTAGAGCATGTTGTTTATAAAATTATAAAACATGGTTGATTTTCTGTTACATTCTTAGGATCAATTTGACTGGTTTGGAGAATGTACCATGATGAATTATGCTATTGCACAGGACAGAATACGATCTGCATTTATTCTAGCTTGAATTTAAACCGACAATAGTGTATCATGGCGTGGACCAAGTGTGTTCCTGGTTTAAATTGTTGCGTCACTGTGAAACACACCGCGTGTATGATAACTCTTTGCCCTGTATATATTAATATAATAAGTAGCGATGCAAAGATTCTACGGTGTAGTGTGTAAATAGAAAGTCATTTGTATCTTTTAATTAATTCGCAGCTTCGTTCGAGGAACGTAACAGTATGAAGAGTCGATATCCTCCTCCCTTCAAGAGGTTCAAATATCTGCCAAAGGTTTCACAAGTATTTAGCTCTCTCGGTTGCTGCTGTTGCTTTTGCACAAAAAGGTCCTCCCGGTACTCCAAAATGAATTCTCATTCGTGTAATGATATACATTCTTCCGTCAAGGAAACGGCACGGAATCCGATTCTGGAGGTATTAACAGTTTCACGAAGCAGTGGACAAGAATTGTTACTTTAAACGTTAGTTGGCGTCCGCCTTGTTTTATACCCAAAGTCATTTTTACCAAAACGATCATTCATTATTCGTTCCAGGTTTCAACCAGTTTGTCGGTCTCATAAAATGCGATTTTCTTTTTTTTTTTTTGTTGTAATTTACTGTTGTCGCGTTGAACAAGTCGCATTAGGACTTCTTTTTAACAAGCCACTAGTAATGTGCTTGCTAGCTTTATTGTTTGACGTCGAGACACATGTTTTTGTACATTTTATTGGGCAACAGGTACTCCGTTTCTTAGTTTTCTCCGGCATAGTGTTTTATACCGTATACTATATACTTTTTTTTTATGATCAGAGTGGATATTCGGATGAAAGTATTCGCAGTGTTGTTTCCTCCATTGAGAAAGATAATCTTCGTATTTTGTACAAAATGTAAACATTCATTCTTCTGGCAAGGCTCTGCATTACGGAATTTTAAGCGCTATATATATACATATATACATAGAAACAAAGAGAGAGAGAGAGAGAGAGAGAGTGAGTGTGAGAGAGAGTTTTACACGTATCAGTGTACGTGTAATTTATATATATATATATATATATATATATTTTTTTTTTTTTCGTTCGTTTAACAGTTCAATACGTTTTGATTAGATAAGGGTGGCACAAAATTGAATTAATTTAACGATATACATACGAATATATGTAATTGCTGCCACAAATGATCTGATTTAAACGTTTACTGTGAGAATTTGTAATATAGTTTCATTCAGACTATGAGGTCGTATGTGCAGACAGATTTTATGTGATTGTTATAAGCTCATATCTCCGTTTTCACTTTACGCAGTGAATTTTAAACTCTATATATATATAAGACATATATATATATATACATATATATATATGCATATATATATATATTTTGTAACTGTAATCTGTATATGAAACAAATATACATATAATGATAGATAACAATAATATTGTATAGAAGAGAGATATTGAAATACATGAACAATGCTTTTAAACATTATTGTCTAACATCATTTTGTACCACTAAATTTATTACTTTGATTCTCCAGTGATATTCATTTTTTTTTTTGTAAGAAAAACAAAAGTTCTTTGCCTGTACTATTTACAAGACAACAAAAACTAGAAATGAAAGAAAATGATTATTTTAACACTATTATGTTTAAATACTTGATTATGTAATTCAGATGTTGAAATTTTATGTTTATCCTCATCTGATTTTTTTTTAATTTTCGATGTTCACTTATTTAGCTTTGATTTGTTCTGCTTATTATTATTTCAATATTTTGTCACGTTTGCTGAGTATTGAACGGTGATAAATTTTGAGAGTAATATATCTCTTTTCTAACACATTTGTACTTGAAAACTAGCCCACAGCTTTATATCGTTAAACAGTTTAACGAGAGTTAAGTTAATACTTTGTCTCTTTTGTTCTGCTTTTGATTCATATGTTCACTGGTCATTTATGAATGTGCTTATATCATCAATTGAACGGGAAAAGTTATTTTAAACACATTTTGCCTACTTCATCTTACACGGTGCATTCATTTTATTAATATAACACAATGGAGAACGTTGTTTTATTATTGTTCAATACTATTGGTACTGCAGACAAATACATCTTCGTTTTCTTTATTTTTAAAATTTAATTCACAGAAGTATGCAGTTATTCAATTATTTATAATGTATTCTAAAGTGTATAATTTTTCATGTGGTATCAATAGTATAATAAGAAATAGTAAAGCAATAGACAGCCTGTTTCGTTGGAAATCGCGTTTTAAACATTTTTGCTTTTAACACAGAAAACTCCCTGCATAAATATTAACATTTTTATGTTTAATTATAAAACGTATCCTTCTGACCTGTCCACTTAACTCCAAATTACTTACTGGTAAATTTTATTTATAGAATACAACTTCATTGATATATTTTATGTGATTAAGTATATGCCGTTGTGCAATGACAGTCACATAATGGCAAGTAAATTATTGCAAAATTTAAAACATCAATGAATGCTAAGAAAAAGAGAAGATAATAGAATCCAAAAGAAATAATTATTGTTGCCTTCAGTACTATCACTTTATCTTTCTTTTAAAACATTATTTTTTAATGGTAGAGTTAAATATTTTTCTTCAAGTTCTACAATTTATTTCTGTAATTCCTTTAAAAGTTTAACATTTTTAAATTCGTTTGGTTCTTATTACTTCCAGAAGAAAAAAAAATGAAATGATGCTTAAAAGCATAAAAAACAAACAAGCCTGCACAATGTTGTGATAAATTCTTTTACAATTGTGCAGTAATAAGACTTACATTAAGTATATTGTATCTAGTTCTAATTGTATACAGTAGTTCAGTGGATAATGTTACTAATATTTGTATTTACATCTCTGAATTCGGTCTTTTAAAAAAATTAACGCAAACCGATTGTTGTAGATGGATGGAAATGGTTGGAGTTCTTTAGGCAGAATCTTGGCAGGACGTAAGCCTGTATTTCTGTATCGTAATGTACGACAATGGAGGAAGAAGGCCGCAAGGATGATGTCTGCATCTATGCCTAATGCTAATAATCCTGAGAAGGGTGCAGAGTATGTATCTTTCAGTATTATTCACCAATTACGTTGCTGATTTATATTTATATACTTTTCTTATCAATTATTTTGTTTTCTTACAGATCAACTGACAAAGACAAGGCACTAGACCCTGTAGATGCGCTTCTAAAACGGCCTCCTGCTTTAAGATTAACTGAATCCGGTGATAACTCTGATATCATCAATTCCGATGAAACCCAATGCAGATTTAATCCCAACAGTTACCAAATGCTTTATGTTGCGAGCAAGGAAGCATTCCTTTATAAGCAAAACTCGTTCAGTCGTGCCAGAGAGGTACATACAACAACCGTATACTCTATAATTGTTACACATGCGTCATTTTGTGGTCACATCATTTCTAAAACAGTGTCTTTCATCTTTTATTAATTCCAAGTTCTGCTTCCATATCCTTGACCAATGGTGCATTAAGTTTTATGCTTTCGTGACATTGAATATTTATATTTTCTAATATTTTTTTCAACAGTGTCATCCAGCTGTGACGAAACATTTGAACTCAAAGTTCCACCAGTGGTTAGCGTCCTGGGCGTCTAAAAACGTGGCGGACATACAGCACCGGTTATGCCAAGACTGGTTAATGGGCCGTTACGAGAACTTAATCCCTCACAAGACACGAGTGATCACTGACAATGACCAAACTAGATCACCTTACCGACAATACAATCGTTATCGTGTAGAACGCTTGCAACCCGACCGTCTGACGGAACCATGTGTATAATCTTACATCTCTTATAATTTTCTTTACTATTCTTTGAGAATATATGATTATTACCGAGAGCTCGTTTCGATAATCTCGTATTCGTGGATACTATTTGTTAATAATTAGTTAAGAAAAGAATCAATTGCGATCGGGGGCAAAATTGAGACTGATTCTTGGCCCGCGTTTCGCGTCACGAACCACTACAGAACGTCTTGTTTTGCCGATGGAGTTCATCGTGGACGAAGATGTTAGAGAAACGGTTATTAAGGAATCGTAATTCTTTATTACACCTGTTGCATTCGACAATGACAAAACGTTTGGTTCTTTAATTGTACAGGTACGAATAATACGATGCAGGTGGAAATATCGCTGTCTTGTTAAATTACTATTTATCTAAAGATTTACAAAGATCCTGTAGTTTAAAAAAATAAAATTTGTGAGTCGTGCGTCAATGAAATTAGAAACATGCGATATTTGCAATTGTATCGAAGATAGGCTTGTGATCAGGTAATATAAGATATTTAATAACGTTTTCTTTTTTTTTTACAACGATTCATTTACCATCACATTAGGTACGGATACTTCAGGTAGGGTTTTACATAAGAGAGTAAAGTTAAACGAAAACTTTTGATACTTTATGTAATCTGAAACGATTTAGAAAGACTATTCTATATTAATGTAATTATCGTTCGTAAGTGCATCCCAGATTCAGTCAATTTTATTTCTTCAAATATTTTATTTTTATAGACTCATAAGATTTTCATCGAAGTGTCAGATGTCGTTGTCAATTGAAATTTGTATTTACAGAGGAACAGTAAAAGATTTCAACGGATAATTGAGTACATTTAAGCGCGGATCGGAGTAACTCATTAAAAATTGTATATTTTCTTTAAACAATAAAAATTTTAAGAAATCTTTTTCATATGGATTCGTATAACAGTTTTTGCGGTTTTTCTGCTGATTTGGAAGTTTGTTGTTCGAAATGCTTTATGTGTAAAATAATTTTCATTACAAGTTTTTAATAACTTACTTCTCTTATTTTGTTTTGAACTAATCGAAGCCTCTCTTCGTTAAAAATTGATTATACATAGATTGTATGTATAAATACATGTACATATGAATGTGCACGTATGTATCAATGTGCTGGAAAAGTGAGTGCATATGTACGTATATACAGATATGAGAACGAGAACAAACACTACTAGGCCTTATTTTTTACCTGATCTTTAGGCTACTGGATAAAAAGAAAAGAGAAAATTGTAACATGTTGAATATTGTAGCGGTGTTCCTGTACAGTGCAAAGGTGTTGACAACATCGAATGTGCGGTGTCGATTGGTAAAAGGCATTGATTCACCACGCACGAGGTACATGGCTCGAGTTCTAATTTTATGTTATTCTTATTATCTTAGGTATATATTTTTTACTGATTCACTTTTATTTGTATATCGCTATAAATGATATATACATATATGCATACATACGAACGTGACAAAAAATACAATCTTTTTTGTTTTTTATATTGTCAATGTTAAAGTTTCTGTTTGTCGATACAGTCGTGAAAGAGAAACATGGTAACTGAAATGGAAGTTCGTGCGTGGTAATGGAAGAAAGTAACTCCCTTGTAATATTCAGACTGCACGCAGTCGTTGCCGCATCCGGAAACAGCGAATCAGCTTTTTGCATCGATTCACCTCAACGTCTCAGACACATTCGGGCAAAGTATAAGGTTTCAAACATACTGACGGATAATAATGTAAGCATCAAGCGGTTGTATACATTCTGATCCTAATTATACGGATTTCGTCGGACTCTTTGCGTCTCTGTTTTTGCGGATAATTTTGAAAAGATGCTGTTACACGTACACATACACACACACATACAACACATACATACGCACACCCACTGTGCCGCTCAGTTATGCAATATACACACTGTAGTTGTACATTAAAGCTGTGTATCTTATCAAAAAGAGAACAAAGAAAAAGAGAGACGCGGTCTTCCGATGCTCGACTACTTGTGACTATTGATGATAGTGTATTTTATCAAGAAAATTGCTAATTTTAAAAAGAAAAGTGTATGTCCGTGTATCAAAAGTGAATGTACAGGCAATTTTATTACTCGAGATAATAATTTAATGTTGATATATTTTGCACAAATCATTATTAATATTAATAAACAATTAATATTACGACTGTTCTATTTTTTTTTTTTTTTTATTGATTCTGCATTTTCTTTTAGATAACAGATCGAATGTGTTAAAAAGTATGAGCGCAGAGGAATGAAATGTATTTTGACAACTGCAGTTTTATGGATTATAAGGTAAGTGAAGAAGATTCAGGGTTAAAGGCATAAAAACAATCTTTCCTACAACATTACTTATTTTTATTAAAAATGATAACATTGATAATCGTTGTACAATTGTAGATAATTTACCCTTCCTGTATATTAAATATTAAGTTGTAGCATAACGTTGTAAATAATATAATTGTGAATAGTGTAAATGTTTATGCAAGCGGAACGACGTGCTGAAAGTATCCGCTATGGAGCGACAAGGGAGACTCGGTGGTGCAATTAAATTTCGGGTTCTAATTGTTTATGGCCCAGTTCAAGCCACAGAAGAGACATTTGCTGCACAACCAAGCCACTTGCTAAGGATTTGAACCGAACCTGAACGTTCTAGACCGTTTTACATCCAGATAGTGGACATGTGTCATCGATCCTGAACTAGGAGAACACGAAGTACCTCGGTCGCTATAATTGGCGAACAAGAGATAGTGAACTCGTAAAATTTGAGTAAAAAAGATAACTTTGTATACACAAATTGAAGATATATTGGAGCTTGCCCAGGATTATAGAAAGTCTTGGCTCAAATTTGATTATTATCACTTTCATTGTAGAACTTATAATGTCACTGGATCAATAGATGCCAGTTCTTAGGGGGGCTGATTTTATAAGTTCGCTATGTCTTGACAACCAAATTATACGCTCCTCTGCGTCTGCTTTCTTCACGAAAGACACGTTCTTCGTGCGGATTTCATCAACTACTCACGAGAGGAGCACTCGTTCCTCTCAACTAAACCATAACCATCCTACAAAGTGAAATACTGCATACGAATACATTGCATGTACTGTTTCCTACACGTCTTATAAATTCTACTAATTACATACTGTATCAATCTATTGTAAATTTCAAATTGTTCATCGAATTCTATGATATATATATTTTTTTCACGGAATAAGAGTCCTTTAAAATAGTTAAATATGAGATCGTTTCGTAAGTAATATCGTTTATAGGATTAACTTTAAATGAGAAAGCAGATTAATAAATCAGACGTATTTCACTATTGAGTCATTTATTAAAAATAGTTGCTAAGAGGAGAAAGAACATTACTTACGGAATGACCTAACATTACTGTCGTATAGAAATTCACTTATTGCAAACGTGTAGAAAAACTTTTCGATATAGTTGCTTCTCTATTTTATCGTTTCGTTATGTATCTATTGCGATGCAATTGGAAAACACAAAAAATGATCTATCCTTACGAACTAATCTCGAAATGATTTAAAAGCAATCGCAAGACGGTGTAACGGTATCTATAAAACATGATAAAAATTCGTTTCAATTTGAGCAAGGACCCGTTTGGTCTCTGAATAGAAATTTGAGTGTGACATACATATACAATTAAATTACTAAATAGTCGATTATATTGTATAAAAAAGATTCGACAGAATTTTCTCCAGTTAAGTACAAAATCGTGAAATGTGCCTTATCGAAATACTGTAACTAATCTTGCTAGTTTTACACCACCTTGAGTAGCTCTAAGGTGTACATTAACTTAAGATAATTAATTGCCATTCACAGATGAACGTCGACGAATAGAATCATTACTTTTAACTGTGGTGTTCCAAATTAAAAAAAAAAAAAAGGAATTTGATATATTTACGTCGGAGTTCATTTGTGATCGATCATAGGAACCAATTTTCGATACGTGACTTAATGAGTCGAAACGTTAAATGTTCTTTTCTACGAGTAAAATTGTCACTTCAACAGTCACTTTTAAATCCTAAAATGATGATCCGAGTACTTCCGTCTATAATTCGAATTGTAATTACTAGACTGTGGATGTTCCAAGATAATTTATATTATCATAGATTCATTTACAGTAAGGAAAGCTGCGCAAGAATCTGCTTTTCTTATTAAGTTGACTCTTATTATTAACTCTTATCAAGGATTCATTAAGCTACGAAGAAATGTTTGCATTCACTGTCTAGTTATTACTTCTGGAAGCAATAATCTTAGAAATACACTAATGTATATTAATAATTAAATTCTTATCTTGATAAATTTGAATCCTTTCAGACCCGATATTAATTGTTTTCAAATACCTTACTTAATTAAGCCTTGACAAACGATTAGAATTGATCATTGAAAGAGGCGAACAACTGCTTTCAATAAATCAATTTAGGAGTGAAAAGATTTCCAGAGACTAAGCTGAATATTATTATAAATAGTACTAAAATATTAATATGTCAGTCACTACTTGATTACATTATAACGTAATTATTACTTATAATTAGACTGTGGATGTTTATACATTTAGAGCAGATGCAGCTGTGTAAAACATAAAAGAATAAAACTGTACGTTAAGGTTAAAAAATTCTATTTAATTCCCGTTTTTTTAAATTAATTCCTATAAATGTGAATTTGTATAAACATTCGCAGTCTACTTATAATAAACTTTCCGTTATGCATAATTTCAAGTAAAATTGTTTCAGTTAACTTACGGTTCTGCTCCGTGCGTCTGATCTACGTCGAGCGATAGGCGATAGGCCATTCATTATTCGATTCGTTACTGTTTCTCATTTTTCATTTTGCAACGTTCAAACTCGTAGCGACCTCATTTTCAAATCAAACGAATTCGAAAAGCGCGCCTTCATGCGAGACTTTCGTTTCAAACTGAGGATGCGCACGCAGTCTAACGTCTCCGTTCGTTGAAGTAACATCCTCCAAGGGCGCTCCGTATATAATGAAGGTATAATCTCCAATTTTTGTAATTTCTCTCGCTAAAACTGCTTTAAAACTATCAATAGTAACACTAGGGACGGAATTATATCAAAATATATCAGAAACTATCGTCGTATGCAAAAATAATCCGTATCGAAAGTCTCGCGCTTGCGGCTTCAGTGCTGGCCCCTTGTAGCCAGCAAGTTTTTTGAATTTCCTTTGATTTCTTTACCAGTAATCAACAATTCAGTGAATACTTGCCACTAAACTGCCGATTTAACATCTGGGAATAGAAGATTCCGTTTCTAAATAATCTCTTTCGACAAAATTCCATTAATAGCTAAACGGTCGCATTCGAATTAAAGTAACAATCGCGCGGGAAATACAAAGTTCGAAATTTCTTCGAAGATCGTCCCATGAAAATACTGTCTGCATATAAAGCGTAAAGTCGGTGCATATGCAGTGTCTGTTGTACTAATGTGGTATATTTAACTATGATTTTACAAATGAACATCATTAAAAGTGGTCTCTATCTACATATTAACGACAATGGTATGAACATACTTGTATGTACTCGGGAAATGTAAATAATCTTACCCTGACTCATAAATTTCGGTCAAAGTGTAATAAATTATCAAAGGACCATAACAAATCCGACAGTCCATACGCACCGACCATATTGAATCGGGACCAGGTAAACTATTCTGTTTTTTTTTTCCGTCCCTACAGGATGACAGATGCATATACGCGAGTGTCCGTGTATTGTGTTTCGAAAGTGTCATCGGGAGGGAGGTTCATGTGTTGTGATTGGCCGCCATCTTAACTGGCAACGAACGCCGGTTGGGGAAGACGGAAACCGGAAGTAATTCCAAACACATGCCGGGATCGAAAGGAAAATGAGAATCAGTGTTACGAGTGAAGTTGACGGTGGAGGAGGGTAAGTGTCACTTTGAATAACGAATAACACCACAGAATTTGTTCGCGGTGAACGAATAACGATTGTGCTTGAAGAAACATTATTCGAGTGAAAATTTATTTTAAGTTACGTTCGAATATATTACTTATTCGGAACGTTATTGGAGTAAATTTTCTTTCGAATAAAGGACCAACTCGAATCGGCGGTGCAACTACGACGGGGCTCCTGAAGGTGTCGCGTAATCAGGTAAGTGCGCATGCTCATGTCAAGCATTCATAGAGGCGCGAGTTTTAACTGACATAGTCCGCCGAGTCCATGTCGTACGGCGACTCGCCCTCGATGTCATCCGCCGTTGTGTTTTGACGACAGTGATAAACGTACGCGCTCATTGACACGTTTTCGCCGGTGCGTACGCATTTGTAGGTTTCGTCGGGACATTTGCATCTGAAAAATTAATACAAATTTTCTTTAAAGTACATTCTATGGTCTTTGTCTTCAGTTTACGTTTCTTGTGTATGAGTGTTGGAGGGCGAGGAGGAGTTCTTTGTTCACTTCAGGTGTCTGTTGGGTCGAGTCATAAAAAGACTACGAATATTAGGTATGCAAATATGACGTACACAAATGTATTAAATGTGATTCAATCTCTTGTATTTATAATTATATTTTATTTATTCGGTCTACTATATTTATCAGCATTATTGTACATAACAGTTATTCTTAGGCTTAAGAATTTTTATTATTACTATTCTTTAACCTTCCACTGGTGGCGCAGTTGTATTGGGTACAACAGTTTGTGTACATATTTTGCACGGCCGATCGTGTCTCAAAAAGGGTGGCGCAACTGGTGGAAGGTTAATTATTATTGAATGAATTTTCGCCATTTGCGGTGGAAACTTTTTTTAACTCGACCCAAACATATATCTGGTGTGGGTTAGGTGCCTGCAGATCTTTATGCATGGGAACAGCGAGGAACAATTTTTGTTGTTATTAATGTCCGCGTATATACGTACTACATACAGATATATATTTTAATTTAATTAACAATACAGGAGTTATAATTGTTTTTTTACTTATACACTCTTACAGTGTAGAATTAAACATTTCTTTGTAGCCTATTAAAATTCTCATGAGAAGAACTCTGTTGCACAGAGATATTTTTATATTTTATACATTCGATTATTTTAGAAGTCTCAAGTTATCAGCTTTGTTAGCATTAAAGTAGGATACATAATTATTAGATGCTTATCTATACCATTTTATAAACGTGACTATACGTGGATGGTATAATTGAACTGCACAGGTTTAAGCAGCAAATTTTAGCGGAAACCAGCAAATAAGATTAAAGATCCATCGTAAACTCGTTGTCAAATGATAAAGCACATAACTTCTTTTTATTTCGCGGGGTTATTGCGTTCAGGCCAGTTCATTCATAAAGATCGAGCTTTATCGAGTTGTTTTTGCTTATTCAAGATATATAATGGGTATCAAACGCGAATCGTATATACTCCACACTTTTTTGTGTTTCACAAGAATCGTTGAACAAACATATAATTAATACTCATTTATGGTTGATAAAAATTTCACTATATCCGATATAATTCCTCCTTAGTTTACATTTATTACGACTCCATTATGGATTTTATGCACTTGTAGAAGATTGGCATAACCTCCATGTATTTATAGTAGGATATTTGATAAAATTTTTGCTTTATTTTGAATTTTATAGAACCTTTAATAGCATGAACAAATTTTAGCCTGACAGTTAATAGCATGAACAAGAATCTTCTACTTTTGATTTAATTCAATAGACAGGGATTTGGGGGACATTGATTAATTCAATAAAAATTCCATTCATTATGAACATTTCAATTATTTCCGCTATTATTGACGACATGAAAAATGATACATGATACAGTTTTGTAATTATAATGCAATGATACAGTTTTATTATCGTCAGATACAGGTCCTTGGACCATATTATCCCCGTTTAGTTCTCTTTTCACGTCTTCAATAGCAACGACAATGATGTTCGTAAATACTAAGACACCCCGTGTATGTCCTGTACTTTGGTTAACGTTTTGTATAACATTACTTACGTATTCGGCATGAAAATCGTGCTTCGACGCGTAACAGGATTGTAAGTGTTCCATCCACACGGTGTGTCGTAGCAGTTCCGTTTCGGTCTGTCTTCGTTTCCGCTCTCGGTGGCCCTTTGGGTCCTCAGATTATCGGGGTTCACGTCGTGCACAATGCGGCGTAGTTGTTCCGCGAATTCCTGTAAACAATAACATGGAAACTATTTTTAAATTATATCTTACATCAACCGTTGCTTGCAGTACATAATAGTATTTAAAAGTACAAGTGTAATTCTAACTACATATTACTTTCGATTCCTAATATCATTCCCATTGCAATATTAAGTTAAGACTTAAATGTGTATTCTTTCAAAAATTGAAAGAATATTTCTTATTTTTCAATTTAGTCTTTCTTCAACGAACATAATGGAACTTACTTCTTAGGTGTACCAATGAGTAATTCGTTATATTTTCTTAAATTCCGGAAAATAGAAAAATTACATTTCTTCAAGTCTAAAACTAGGTGATCCGGTACTAGGTTGACCTGGTACTACTTTTTCTTAGTTATTTGTTTTTGTGAGAGTTTAGATTTTAGTACTTAGTTGCAGGTGGCTCTCACGCCTAGGCGCGCCTAGAATTCATTGTTCTTCGGCATCCTACGCCATTTTTATCAATCACTAGGACGGGAAGAAACATTGCGCTTAAACTACATTGTCATTTTATTAACGAAACAGCTAATGAATTTATATTTCACTATTTTTCTCCGAATTCGAGGATCTCCTTTTCAAGAGAATCACAATCATACGATCTCCTAATATTACTTTTCATTATTCGTGTGCTTCGTAGGGAATTTTTATCAAACAAAAAGACAAGAAACGGGTTACTCATTAGTACAATTACTACAAGAATTTAGTGTTCGACTAGTTATACAGATATAGTCTGATATAAACAATTTGTAACATAACGTTCCATTAAAAATTACCGTTGGCAATTGAAAGTAAGACACAATGGTGTATGAATACTTTATTCTCTTCCCGTCTGGGTTTACATTGTAAGAATGCGAATGAAATTGCATATATTCCGCATGTCTCGATGAAAGTGAAATGAATTCGTCGGGGAAGATAATATTTCGCCCCGTAAGCATAATCGCTGCTTAGACAAACAATTTTTCTGCCTTCTAAACATTCTCCGAGCGGAAATTGAAATTATTTTTGTCCATCGTGCATCGAACTTTCACTTCAATCGCGAAGAAGTGTTTAATATTTGAAATCGTATTAGTATTTCGTAACTCTGGGAATTGTTTTTCTATAGAATCATGTAGAAGATACGATTCTGTAATTGTTTGGAAAATATGGAGCGCGAACGTGCGTAATAGATAAGTGGAACATTATGGCGAAATTCGGAGCGATTATCTTTCTCGCGTTAAGAGCTCAATCCTTTCGACGCAGTAAGGGTCAGTGCTACTGATTTCGTGTTTCCAAAAATTTCTATAAGTTCCGAGAATGTTTTCTGATTTTTATTTTTCTAGACGATGCACCGATCCTGTTTAATCTATATGGTAAAATTGCATTGAAATTATTTTAATAGGTCTGATAGAGGAGTGGAAATAATTGAGTTTTTCGATAAGGTCTGACTAAGCGGATCAATGTTCCAAAAAATGAAATCATCGCAAATTTCGGAGGCTTGTAGAATCGCGGAGACTTTTATCACATAATTCTAGATAAAATTACATTAATCTCGAAGACATTCGCATTGAAATTAGACGGTTTTCATGATTCGTATAATGAAAAATATAAGAATTTTCGAACAACTCGAACATATACTTTAATAATATGATATTTTATAATAGTTTGTTAAATCAACGACCAATATATCTGGAATTTTCTGAAATAATTTTCTAAAACGTTCTAGTCTTATCAAGATACAAAATTTCCTAGTAGGAAAGAATAGTTTTTCATTAGCAACAGATTAAACTAGGTTCTTCCTTGTATCTTTAAGAATTTCAAAGATTGTAATTAGTATAACTAATACTAGGGTGATTCATAATTATTGATACACACTGTACTGTCGGGGACGTGATGTTTATGAATCAATATTTATGAATCACCCTAATATTATATTCAATAAATAGTTATGGTCTGTATGGTTCTTTGAGGTACTATCTTAAGTGACTCAAGTATTGTGAAACTACCATGTTTCTTCAGTAGAATGTGAACGTTCCGACTAGCCAAGACCTAAAATCAATCCTCTTGTAGTTTTTCCAAGTGACTGAAATTTCTGTCTTTCAAAATAACGTTAACCCATAGCAATAGAACTTTTCAGTGTTGAATGTTTTTTTATTAAAAAAGACTTTTTGGAAGTACGATACACGTATAATGATATAAAAGTAACGCGGTGTCGTAGAGACTAAAAATTACGATAACGTCGACTGCTTTATTCACAAAATTTTATATTGACACTGTTCACAAAGAGAATCCTCTAATATCATTCCACTTAATTCAATATAAAAAATCCTGATATCAACAATAACGTGAAATTGAAAAATTCAATTTAATAATTTAGATTGCGGTAGTATCAATTATATAGGTGTAAAATATTTATCATATTTTTGTAAAGTGCAATCGAAAACAAAGTAACATAATTTCAAAGTAATTTTGGTTGTTCGAAGTACTTTGACAAAATCTCGAAACTCAACAATAATAAATTATAAAATAAAAGATCTTTAGAACAATATTTTCGATCGATGTCTCTTTTGATTTCTGGTTGATCTCAGATAACCCAACGAAACAAAAGTCCGACTTACTACTACGAATAGAAAGTAGTGTAAGGTATCATAAAAAATGAACTTTATGTAACATTATTCACCCGTCTAACAGAAGCACCAAAGAACAGAGTAGCTTCCCAATACAATAAATCCTTACAGTATCACTGGGAAACAGGGGTATAATTCAGTAGAATAAGACAATTCGCCCAGACCATGTAGCAAGGGACTATCCCAAAGACATCCGTTACGATCACGAAAAAAATCCCGTTTCATCCCCAAAGTCCTCAAACAAACGATCCATTTTAGTTTAACATCGCTTACCTCCGATCGTACCGCCGCGGTGTCCGAATGAACGGCGACGTACAGGACCGCCAGCACCGTCACTAGCGATTTAAACAGTACCGATCTCATTCTCTCGACTTTGATAACCAACTTCTCTGGCGAACCGTCTCGCTAGGACAACTAGAGGGCTAAGGACCGTCGTTTCCTCGAGAGTTCCTTGCTCCCCGCCTTCTTCGCTTCTCTTCTTCTTCTTCTTCTTCTTCCTCCTTGTGCTCCTTCTCCTAGTCTTTCTTTTCTGTTATTTTCGTGTTAGAGACACGTCCCGCCGCGGAGATCGCGAGACGATTTTATCGGAACCTCCTTTGGTTTTCAATCGTTGGACACGGGATGTTTTCTCGATCCTCTCACCAGACTCGATCGTAGTGCACGACCGATCGAATTTTCGGTAGATGATCTCTTTTTCTCTTCCTTATGTATCGTCGTATCACGAAGGGATTAATCTCGGCGATCGTTGGCACCGTAGGACTGGTGAAATACGTCGATTACGGAACGATCGATTTCACGCGTGCTCGTCGTATATCAGTAACGGACGGTTCGTGTAACACGGATCCGGGAGTTTAGGCTTCTTCCGACTTTATACATAGACGACGACTCGTATAGAGAATGAGAGGAGGACCGAGCGGGTCGCAGTTTATATAGGCTGTGCTTCTAGTGGCGGGAGAGTCTGTTTCAGAAGGAAGAGGAGGGAGAGGAGGTGCGATAGGGGAGGGAATATTAAGTATTAACCCTTTGTGGATCATTCTTCATTTTTTTTATATCGAGGATACTTTCCACGCATAGTGGTCGTATTTTTCTGTCAACGGGAAATTTTATATTTTAATTTTGCATCGGCCAAATCTTCGGTAGAGAGAGCGCATTTTTCTGATCAATTTGTGTTTCCCCAAATTAGAGTCTCAACTTGTGAAATTGTTTCTTATATCAAACATCTGCGGATTTTTTATACATTTCTGAATTTTCTATTTTATTTCCGATATAATAATGTAATTGATGGAAAATAAATTAAGTGGAACATTGTATGAACTTTGTTTGCACTTCTTGTTTTCTAAAATAGTGAATGAAGGTTGGAATTTGTTTCAGTCGGTCATTTATTCTGTCTGTGGATTCATTTTCATCAGGAATATCTCACTAATTCGTTGACAAGTCTGATAAAGGTATAATGAAAAATAGGGAGATCTATGCATTTTATTAACAGATTAATCCAGTACTCAAGTTTCTTTACAGTATGCCTTTGAATCGTTTACAGTTTCAACTTAACAACTAGATTTCACAGAGAACTCAGACTGTCTTTTGTATTTGTATTTCTTTCAAAGCTGGATCAAGAAATTTTACGGTTTACTACTGAACAAGGTCCGGTAGTATTAAAATTCAGATATTTAAAATATATCACTGACACAATTTGGTTATTCTTACCTAACATACTGACAAAAAAAAGCATCATTTATATGGTGACCTGATACATAGGTATACTTATAAACATAATAAAGGACTTGATTCAACGTAAGGAGCTATGCCACTATTAAACTTAGTCCCAACGCTAGCTCTAATGCTTAACATGCTCAACCTGATTCAACCCACTGGTGGATCACGAACTACATTTCTTAGAAACAACGTGTACCAGTGATAGTTAACAACTGTTTTACCGATTCATACAGTCCTATCTAGGCGTACGGAAATGGGCTCTGGGTTGAACGTGTTAAGCCTAGTCCAAACCGGGCAACAATCACCGGACAGATGTAATGTGGGTCGACAATTACCGGATGGACTTGGTAACTTGGTTAGAAACATTATTACGCGACACAACAATTTGTATACATATACCTAAAATTATGAGCCAGTCGCCATCAAAGTGCAACCAGCTACCTAGTAGAGGTGACCTACAATGTTAACAAATGGAAGGGTTCACGCTGAAAATTTTAAATCCAATTGGAGAGTTAACAAGCGTGTATATTAGTAGATATGATCAATCGTAGTTTTAATACTGTATTATGTAAAGTTTCGAGGTTTATATTTTAGGAAAAATGTTACTCCAGACGAAAATGATTCTATGTTCTCCAGGCCATTTGTAGGTCATACTCCTTATGGTTTCGATAATTAACTCTTTGCGTTTCTTTCTGCAGTACTTGTCACGATTAAAATGATTTAGAGTATTTACTAATCGATTACACAATCGTTAACAACATCTACAACCTTATCTAATCTATCCATCGAACGCGTGAGACCACCAATGAGCAATTTTGGGTGGGGTGTCCCAAAGTCGCAACACAAAGACAATTCACAATTTATAATTGGGTCATCCTGAAAGTTTTCCGCGCGTTTGAGCGATATAAGTAATTAATGTTATGTAAATACAAGGGAACGAAATGCGTCGAAATTTCCAAACATGAATTAAATAAATTTTTCACGCCACTTCTAGAAACGTGGAATAATGGTAACAAATGTGTCATTATTGCAATTAAATTATCGAATTCCAGCGGCATCGTGTTACTTCAAACTGAACGGGCTCGAAAGCGCGGTAACTTTCAAGACGACTTAACGTTATCCGTTGTAATCATTTAACCCTTTTCTTCATAGAGTAAACAAATTTATTTATCTACACATTTCAACACAGTAAGAAGAGTTTTTGTTTAGCCTTTTCAAAAAACGATTTATAATTCAATTCTAAATTCTTTAGACCTACTAAAAATATTCAAAACATGAAAACAATCATACTTATAAGAGAAATATGGGTCTGCGACACAGTACTTAAGGCTTCGTGTGAAATCGTAAGAAACTTCATGCAAGCAAATGTGACCACCAGGTCTGAAAGGGTTAAGTTTCCTTAGTTTCTTAGTCAAGAGGCGAAAAAACCGCCCCAATAATCGATTCCAAGTAAACGTCAGCGTGAACAAAGTCGGGCAGATTGAAACCGTTCAATTGGTAGCGTTGTTTACTGGTGGCGTGTAGGGTCGCCCACGGGCATTTGTTAGTTCGACGACAGATAAACGCACGTGAGTCAGTGATGCAGGGGCTTGTCGGGGGCACGTCAGCATCTCGACCAATCGCACACCGCGGCGAACGTGACGTCCGATCGCCTCATGCGTCGGAGAACACGATCTATCGAGCCTCATTGACTTGCTCCCGATCGTGTTGTGCGTGGATCTCTCTCTACATGCAGCGCGAAACGGAGCAAAACATTCTCTTTTTCTCCCTCTACGAAAGATTCATCCTATCAATGAGACGCAAAAATGAAGGAGGAAACAAGTAAAGGGTCGCGTGATACAGTGAAAAAGCAGGCGAATTACAATAGTATACAGGGCGTTCCGTTTAAAACAGGCCACCTAAAATATCTTCTCTATCTGTGATCATACGAGAACTAGTTTTAATGGCATTTAAATGGTTTCAACATACGAATCGGATGGCTGGAAAAATTGTTTATAAGTATCGTTTTTTAATGGTTTTTCCAAGGTCAGCCATGTTTTTTTATGCATATGCACGTAATTTTTCCTGTTGTATATTATAGCTAAGATTATTATGCATTTATTCATGTATAACAGTATAACCTTGAAATGACCTTGAACTCTAAATATTTTTAATTTACTAAAAAAAATATACTCTAAAAATGTTAAATTCGTCAAAAATGTCAAATATCATGTTTTATTCAGAGACAGTAGGTGTGTCCAGTAGATACAGGCCGGGTTGCGTGTATCAGCGAGACGCAATTGCAACCTTCAATGAGAACGACGACGATGCTGCAATCATGTATATATTTTTTCTCTCTTTCTTCGATTTCTTTACGTACCGTTTCCACGAATTGTTTTTTAGGATTCAATCGCCACGCGGCGTAGGGGGAGGGTAAACCGCCACGCGATAAATTCTTGATACCCGATTCAACCACGCTCTCCTCCCTCCCTCTCTTGTTTCTTTCTTCGTGATCGCGCGCGAGCGCGTGTACGTCTCTCTGTTTTTCTTTTTGGGCAGCTTTCTATGTCAACCAGATTGCATCACCAGTGAAACGTAAAACGGCGAAATTCGGTGCGCGCATATTTTTACGCGAGAAACTGCGCTTCAAGTACCGGGATATCGAGTTTCGATTAGGCGGTCTCACAATACCCGCGATATTTGCTCGATAGGCACACGGGGGAAGGTGGCTGCGTTGACGAATTGCGCCTAAACACAAGTTTGCAAACCGATAGGAAATCGTGAATCGTTGTGTAGGAGCACGTGGCCCATCCCTCTCTTGAAACTTAATACACATCGAGCTTCGGTAGCTAATGTGGAATTGCGATTCCTTCTCTCGGAACACGTGGATCTTCCTTTTATATTATTATTATTATTATTTATTATTTATTTTCAGTATACCGTGTCTTTCGGCATTGGCAGGTTACCAGTCTTCTCGATTTACAATATCCATTTTACATTTTGTCTTATGTTTATCCACGTTTCCTCCCCTTTATCATAAACGTTTTCCATCGAGCTTTAATGTCCCCAAAACAATATTTGTTTCGGGCTGTCAGCAATTTCGTAAGGCGCTGTAATATATACTGTATATTCGATAAGTGTCCTAATACTTATGAACGGGAGTGTGACACCAGAAACCGAACGAATCATAATTTATATTTCTCATCGCGATACCGACGATAAAATTACAGAACGGCCGGTGCAATCACGTGGAGTATCCCTGGCTGTTCGTGGTCGTATTTCGTAATTTTTTTTTTCTCTGTAGAATCGTTAGTTCGGTTCTGAATCGATTAGACCCCGGCATTGAGACGCGAGCAAGGCCACCGACTCGCGGCGTAATGATTTTTATTCGAATCGTAATCGATCCGGTCGACCTTGGTAGCAAAACTTTCCACGGTCTCCGACCAGAGGGTCGTGGCGAGACCGCCGAAACGCCTTGGCGGCTTCGAATAACGCCGTGTCATCTAGCCGATTGATGTTCCGTTCAGGGTAATTGATGCCGGTTTTCCGCACCCTTTTGCACCGCCGAAGTCGTAATAATGACTCGAGCCAATTATTTTCCGCCGTCGATCGAACGTTCGAAGGCACCGTTTATCATTTGGATCGACGAAACTTCCTCGTGTATGGTATATATTAATCTATCAAATTATTTGTTACCTCGTCTATAATTGCATCTGATTCAATAAAAACGAATGAATAGAGGTGTGAAAATTATCAGATTCGAAGGAATCGTTACGATTGATCTATTAACCCTATTACAATAAAAGCTTCATTAATCCATCATTAGTAGATTTACGTTGTTCTACAATTAGGCCAATTCTTTATTGAAGAAATGATCATTCATTTTTTTCAACTGGTTCAAGTAGCACAGGTTTTAGTTTATCGCAAGTGGGTGATGTTCCTTGGGAGACTTGATTAGAAAATCTACCTACGCAAGATAAAAAAAAGAGCGTGCTAAGGCCAGGCCTCCCCTAGAATATAAATAGGGAAAAGCCGGTGTTGAAGAGACGCTAACGTTTGATTTACATGATACATTTAGTCGGCGGCAGGCAATCTGCCAACGGGATATTATACTATTTATTTTCAATGTAGGTGCTTGAGTTACTGACCGCTACCATTCGGAATATATTGTTT